GGCTGGGTGGGTGCCAGCTTCCCCCCTGGCGTGAGTGTGATGTGGCTCTTCTCAAGCAGCTCCAGCTTCCTGGCCTCCTTCCTTGGCTGGGAGCCTCTCAAGGTAAGTGGGATGTGGGGGCCCAGCTGCCAGGCTCTGGCACCTGTGGGCCCCTCTGATGCCCACCCCCCCCCCCCCCCCGTAGGTCCTGCTGGAAGCCCTGTACTTCTCACTGGTGGCCAAGCGGCTCCATCCTGACGAGGATGACACCCTGGTGGAGAGCCCAGCCGTGACGCCTGTGAGCGAGCGTGTGCCCCGCGTGCGGCCCCCCCACGGCTTTGCGCTCTTCCTGGCGAAGGAGGAAGCCCAAAAGGTCAAGAAGCTGCACGGGATGCTGAGGGTGAGCTCAGGCACAGCTGACCAGCAGTTGTGCTCCTGTCCCCCGTCTGGGCCAGCGCGGTGTCTTCCTGTATGTTCTCCCTTTGTCGAAAACCTCCCACCTGCCCTTGGCTCCCCACAGAAGGCCCTTTGGCCCCTGCCCCACCTTCTGTCACCTGCCCCACCTTCTGTCACCCCCGATTCGTACCGCCCCAGTCCTTGCTCTGCCTCTTCTCATGCTGACATCAAATGCCTCCTACTGCCTGGCCTCTAGGGATCCTGGGGGTGGTCTCAGCCTTTGGTGGGGCCGTGTCTGCCCCCTACCCCTGGCGGGGCATCGGCAGGTGTCTGGGCTGCCTTCTTGGCACCAGGCACCTTGGCCGTGGGCAGTTTGCTGGCCAGCTCTGTTGCGGTGGGCCTGAGTGGGATTGGCTGACCCCAGGGCTGTCCTCGCCCCCAGAGCCTCCTGGTGTATATGCTCTTCCTGCTGGTGACGCTGCTGGCCAACCACGGGGATGCCTCATGCCACAACCATGCCTACCGCTTGCAGAGTGCCATCAAACAGGAGCTGGGCAGCCAGGCCTTCCTGGCCATCACCCGGTACGGACACCCCCGAGTGCACACACGTACCCGCCGGCCAGGAAGCTGCTGATGCCAACCAGGTCCCATCTTTCCTGGCCTTCTTCCAACCCAGTCCCCGGGGGACATGGGCAAGTGTCTTGGTACAGTTTTGGTTGTCAGGACTGGATATGGTGCCCAGGATAGCCCCCTGACACTTATTTGCCCCAAATACCAGTAGCCTAAGATGAGGGAATGCGAGTCTTTCCCTTGTCCCGCTGGGTGGCCCTGGCAGCCTGCTGTTGGCTGGGCTGGGGCTGCAGGAGCGATGCTCTCTGGGGCTCTGACCCGCCTGCCCCATGGGGTGGAGCGTGTGACTGTGTCTGTGGGCAGGTCTGAGGAGTTCTGGCCGTGGATGTCGCACGTGCTGCTCCCCTACATCCACGGGAACCGGTCCAGCCCAGAGCTGGGGCCCCCACGGCTGCGTCAGGTGCGGCTGCAAGAAGGTGAGCGGCTTCTGGCTGATTGCCGTGTGCCCTTTACCTTCTCCCTGCTGTTTCTTTATCTGTGAAACCAGGACCTCTACCTTCTGGGCTCAGGGAGGGTTTGGGCGATCGTGTTGGGCCCACCCCAGGAAGCTGGTCAACAGTAAGTGCTCCTGGTTTAGTCCTGCTCATTCCCTGCAGCACTCTGCCCAGACCCTCCTGGTTCAGGGGTGCCTGCGTGCTCTGCGGCCTCTGGCACCTTCAGCACCGGCGACTATGGCATTGGCTGGGGGAGTGCTGCCCACAATGGCTCGGAGACGTGGGCCTACTCTGCACCAGACCTGCTGGGGTGAGCACAGAGGGCGCGCCCGGGGTTCCTGCAGGGCCAGGGCCTGGCTCTAACACTGTTCCTTCGTCAGCAGTGTCTGGTCCTGGGGCTACTGCGCTGTGTACGACAGCGGGGGCTACGTGCAGGAGCTGGGGCTGAGCCTGGAAGAGAGCCGCGCGCAGCTGGGCTTCCTGCAGCTGCACAACTGGATCGACAACAGGTGCGGTGTCTGAGCTCCGTGCCACCCCCCTCATCCGCCCTGCAGGACCTCAGGCAGGCACACGGCCCCTACCGGCCCTCCTCCCACCACCAACTTTGCGGCTCCCCATTCGTTCCTGACGAGCCTCACTGACCACTCGACCTCCACCTCTTCCCGGGTCCATGCATCACCCGCCCCGAGAGCCCCTTCCTCAGGGAAGGCACGCAGGTCTTCTCACCCCGCCCCCTTCTCGCCGCGTAGGAGCCGCGCCGTGTTCGTGGAGCTCACGCGCTACAGCCCGGCCGTGGGGCTCCACGCCGCCATCACGCTGCGCCTCGAGTTCCCTGCAGCCGGGCACGCCGTGACCGCCCTCAGTGTGCGCCCGTTCCCGCTGCAGCGCCTGAGCGCCGGCTTCTCCCTGCCGCTGCTCACCTCGGTGGGTGCTGGCCCCGCCCCCGCCCCCGCGGTCCTCCTATCGCAGGCCCCGCTCACTGCTCGCCCCGCCCCATCCCTCACCAACTCCTCCCGGCGCCGGCCCCGCCCACCACCCTCGCCCCGCCCTAGCCAGTGTTGGCCCCGCCCCCGCAGGTGAGCCTGCTGCTGTTCGCGCTGTACTTCTCGGTGGCCGAGGCGCGCGTGTGGCACAGGGAAGGGCGTACACGCGCGGTGCGGCCCGGGGCCTGGGCACGGTGGCTGCTGGTGGCACTGACCGCGGCCGCGGCGCTGGTGCGCCTGGCCCAGCTGGGTGCCGCTGACCGCCAGTGGACCCGCTTCGTGTGCCGCCGCCCGCGCCGCTTCACCAGCTTCGAGCAGGTGGCGCAGCTGAGCGCCGCGGCTCGCGGTCTGGCCGCCTCGCTGCTCTTCCTGCTTCTGGTCAAGGTGAGGGCTGGGCCGGCGGGGGCTGGCTGGGGTCTGGGCCGGGCTGGCCGGGGTTCGGTCAGCTGACCCCACTTGCCCGCAGGCCGCACAGCAGCTGCGCTTCGTGCGCCAGTGGTCGGTTTTCGGCAAGACGCTGTACCGGGCCCTGCCGGAGCTCGTGGGGGCCGCTGTGGGCCTGGTGGCGCTCGCTGTGGCCTACACCCAGCTGGCCGTTCTGGTAGGTGACGACGGTGAGGCCGGCGGGGGTGGGTGGCGTAGCCCAGGAGGCGCTCCTCACCCGCGCCACCTTTCCATGCAGCTGGTGTCCTCCTGCGTGGATTCGTTTCGGAGTGCGGCCCGGGCCCTCTTGGTGCTGTGCCCTGGGTCCGGGGCTCCTGCCCTGTGCCCTACTGAATCCTGGCGCCTGTCCCCCCTGCTGTGCACGGGGCTCTGGGCCCTGCGGGTGTGGGGGGCCCTGAGGCTGGGGGCAGTCCTCCTGCGGTGGCGGTACCATGCTCTGCGTGGCGAGCTCTACCGACCAGCCTGGGAGCCACAGGACTATGAGATGGTGGAGCTGTTCTTACGCAGGCTGCGCCTCTGGATGGGCTTCAGCAAGGTTAAGGAGGTGGGTACGGCCCAGTGGGGGGGAGAGGGACGCACCCTGGGCCCAGGTGAGCCCAGGGTGCAGCCGGACTGACCGAGCCCCTGTGCCGCCCCCAGTTCCGCCACAAAGTCCGCTTCGAAGGGATGGAGCCGCTGCCTTCCCGCTCCTCCAGGGGCTCCAAGTCTTCCCCGGATGCACCACCCCCCAGCGGGGGCTCTGACACCTCACGGCCCTCCACCTCCTCCAGCCAGCTGGACACGCTGAGCGGGGGCCTGGGCCGGTTGGGGCCACGGGGGGAGCCTGAGCCCTCACGGCTCCAAGCTGTGTTCGAGGCCCTCCTTACCCAGTTCGACCGACTCAACCAGGCCACGGAGGATGTCTACCAGCTGGAGCAGAGGCTGCAGAACCTGCAGGGCCGCAGGAGCACTGGTCCCCCAGCCTCCCCTCCCCGCAGCCCCTCCTCACACCTGCGGCTAGCCCTGCCCAGCCGTCTTGCCCGGGCCAGCCGAGGCATGGGCCTGGCTACTGGCCCCAGCAGGGCTTCCCTGCGGGCTAAGAACAAGGTCCACCCCAGCAGCACTTAACCCCTGGGCCCTGGGCTCATCGCCCTTCCCTGGGGTGGGTCTGTGGCTTCACTCTGGCTTCTCGAAGGGAGCCGGAGCAGACACCACTCAGTATTAACTTCTGCCGCCCTCAAGGTCTCGGGCCAGGCAGGAGAGCTGCACAAAGGTCCCCCTGGGAGGAGGCAGCCGTTGTCTCTGTCTGGGGGTCTCAGCACTTTAAAGAGGCCATGTGGGCAGCCCCCAGCTCCCCATGGGAGGACACAGCAGTATTGGGCCGAGTGCCCAGCCTCTGAGATGCTAATTTATTACCGGAGTCCTCAGGTACAGCGGGCTGTGCCCGGCCCCACCTCCTGGGCAGATCTCTCCCCTTTGCTAAGGATCCAGGCTTCGGGGAGGGAACCTGCCCCTCCCGTGGTCTTCCCCCCCTAAGTTATTACCTCTCCTGTGCCCCTGCTGAGTGCACTCCCCTTCTGCTGCCGTCTGTGTGTCTATCGTCAGTAATTTATATGGGGTTAAAATGTATATATTTTTGTACGTCGCTCTCTCTTTCACTAGGGCCCAGGGACCCGCTAGCTGAAGCAGTCCTGTGCCCACTGTCACCCACGTTGAGGGGCAGCGGGGACGGCAGAGCAGGCCTCCCTCCCCAGACACCTGACTGGAGGGCCAGCGCCGGCCTGGGACAGGTGCTGGGAGGGGAGGCTTGTTAGAAGGGCCCAGTCCCCTCCTAGGCAGTTCTGTCTCTCCCCCCCCCCCCCCCCGGGGGCCTTGTTCTGCGCCCAAGGCTGCGCAGCGAGAAGGCAGGGCCCAGACCTGCTGGTGCTGGGTCGGGGTGAGGAGCAGGGCGAGGGAAAGACCGAGGTGGTCAGGTGGAAAGAGCCCTCCCCGGGGGCTGGCTCCTGGGGCTGGGGCAGGTGAGCACGGGGCCATGTGTGGTGGTGTGGGTGGCCCAGACAGGCCCTGCACCATGGCTGGTTGGGGGGGGGGGGGCCTGCCCAAGCTAGCGCCTTGATCCCACCCCCACCGGACAAAGTCAAATAAACCAGCTGGCTGACTGCATCTGTGTCTGAGCCACGCAGGCCAGGAGCCACCGCGGCTTTATTTCGTGCACACACGTCCACGCGGGGCAGCCTCACACGAACTCCGTGAAGTCATCCACTGAGGAGATGAGGCGCTTCCGCTGGCCCGTCTCATACGTGGGCGTGGGCTCTGCCGGCGCCTGAGCAGGGGCTTTGGCGTGGCCCGCGGGGTGCATCTGCATCAGGGGCAGGCTGGGGTTGGAATAGTGGGCTTCCTCCCGGATCTGTAGGAGACGGGAACTTCAGCAGCCAGCCCCGAGGCAGGGGGCACATGCGCCCCGCCCCCCCCCCGCCCGCCACAGGGGGTCTGGGTCCCCTCTTCCCTACCCGGTGGCGGAGCCGCTTGATGTGGCGGAGCCTGGCGATCCACTTGGAGGGGTAGATGTCAGTGGGGTTGGAGCGGCTGTGATGTACCTGTGAGGCCATCTGGGGGCGGGGGGGGGGGTGAGTGGTGAGCCCTCGTGGGGTGGCACCTGTGGGCCCTTCCCACCCGCCCCCTGGCCCATCCTCTCTGCTCACGTTTGCGTGCAGCGCCATCTGACGGGCCACAAAAGGCAGGTTGCGGTCTGACACGATCTTGGCCACGCTGGTATCCACGAGACCCTCCATGTCTGGGGAGAAACAGAGCTCACCCCAAGGCTCAGGGTCCTGAGTACCACCCTGCCCCACCCCGCCCCGCGGCTCACCTTTCCTGCACTGCAGGGTCACCAGGTTGCACTCATAGTCCAGGGGGGTGATGATGACATGGACGAAGTTGAACTGACCCTGCCCGGACAAGAGCAGAGGTCACCCGGCCCCGAGGACCACTGTCTGCCACTTCCTCCCTCAGCTCGAGCAGGTGGTGGGCTCATCGGGGCGGGTGGCTCGCTACCTGAACAAGCCTGGGCTCTGCTCACACCCTCCTTCCCACCACAGCTGCCTTCCCTCTCAAAACCCCACCTATTCCACATCTGGTTCCCAACCACTGAACCCACCGAGTTCGGATTCAGTCATGACCCCAGACAGGTCTGCGGCCCCTGTCCTCCCCTCCCCGTGGCTCCGGCTGCCACCTGCCTGTCACCCAAGAGCAGCACAAGGAGCTCGGCACGTGCCCAGCCCCCAGCTCTGCACCGCTGCCCGCTCCTGGCTTCTGTCCGGTGACCTCGCCCGAGGCTCCCCGCTGTGTTCAGAACACACCCGCAAACTTCTGAGCACCGGCACCCCTGCCGCTGGGGCCGCCCCGGGCTCCCCACTGCCTGGGCTCACAGCTGTCTGGCACAGCCCCCTGCACCCCGTGACAAGTCTCCCGGACTCAGCCCGCCTCCCACCGTGGGGCCTTGAGCCCTAGCGGCATCCTCTGAGAAAGGTGGTGACCCAGAAACCGACCCCAGCTGCCGTGGGCACACAAGGGAGGTGCCAGGCAGACGGACTCGGAGCCCTTCCGGAGACACAGCACCTCCCGGGCACCCCACAGCCCGCTAAGTACACGTGCACAGCAACTCCGCGACCCCCTGCACCACCGCCGCCGGTGCCCCGGCTTCCGTGGGAAGCCCGTGGGGCCACTGTCCCCGTCATGGTCATTCCAGAGAAGGACGCTGGCTCCCAGGGGGGTCTGCATGGGAGGCCGGTGCCCCTGCGGCCAGCATGCTGACCCTGCCTGGGCCCGCCCCCAGCACCCCCACTCACTCTGATGGTGCCCAGCTTGAAGTCCTCGCCGGAGTCATTGTACACAATGGACACGAAGTCATTGCCCAGATGACGCTTCTTGTCACAGCGGTGCTTGTCCACGTCCTTGGTGGGCATCAGGGTGGCGATGTGGAAGACAGCTGCAAGGCGGACCCGGACGAGCGCTCACAAGAGCTGCTCGGGGCTCGTGTCGGTGGGGCCGGGGCGGGGGGGGGGCACCTCTCGGCTTCCCCGGGGGCTCTCAGTGCCCGCCCGGCAGCAAGGCACCCCTTCCCGAGGGCAGAGCTTCTGGAAGCGGGGCCGCCAGCCCCCGCGCTGCCTGCACGCCCAGACGGGTAAAGGCAGGCCCTCGGCCCCACCCGTGGCCCCCCCGACGGCGAACGGCGGGAGCTGCGTGGCCAGGCGCGTACCTTGCATGATGTCGTCGTGCCAGCAGTAGGTGAACTGGCCGTCCTCCCCACACACGTCCAGACCCCCCAGGTACACCTTGTCCGGCTGGCAGTCCTTGAGCTCGATGAGCTTGCCCAGGCCGGTGAGGAACTCCGTGTACCTGTATGAGCCGTGCTCATTGGACAGGATGGCCAGCTCGCTGCTGCTCTGTGGGCAGGGAGGAGCACGCTGGCACCCGCCCCGCCCCCCATGGCTCCCGGGAGCCCTGAGTCTGTACGATGCCGCCCTGCACTCCCATCCAATGTGCTCACGGGACCTTCCCAACACATCCAGAAGCCCAGCAATCCTCGGAACCCCGGCCCCGGGCCCTAGCCCTGCCCCTCACAGGGACCGCCAGCACCTGCCTTCCATCGGTTCTCACACACACGGCAGTCGGAGCGATGCTCTGGACACTTAGGCCGAGTCACCTTGAACCCTTTGCTCAGAACCATTCACGGCCCGCCCACCTCCCTGGGAATGGCCCACGAGGCTGTCCACGTCCACTGTCCACACCCACCCTCCCCCCGTTTACTTCCCTGCCCCACCTACCGTCCCCCACGCAGTGGACACAGCGCCAGCCACCCGCACCTGCCATTCCCACACAGGAGACTCCTGTCCCTCACTTTCTCCACACCTGGATCCCCAATGCGAGCAGTGCCCTGCTCACACGTGCAAGATCCCGGCACCTGCCGCCACCTCCACAGTGCTTGGCACTCCCTTGGGCACCACGAGCTCACACACTCACCTGTCACTCCTGCCGTGTCCCTGGCACCGGAACGGTACCTGGCATAGGGCTCCCTGAGCACCGGCCATGTGGCAGCTCATGCAGTGACTGAGCTCTGTGACGGACCAGGGTGCAGACCCTGACCCCTACCCCAGGCACGAAGGCCACACAACTCCACCCTCGCACCCAGGAGCCTCACCTGGCCTTCTCCCACGTACAGGACGGCAATCTTGTGCGTGTCATAGGATGGAATCTGGTCGAGAAGCTGCACTGACCGCTCGAAGGACTATAGCCACAAAGCCCTGCCTGAGCTTGGGCGGAGGCCATCCCCTGCCACCAGCCCTACCACCAGCCCCAGCCTGATGCCCTTCCAGGGAGGGCTCTCCTTATGCGGGTAGGCCACTGTAGGTTGCCCCAGGGAGCTGAGGCTGTACCTTCTGCAAGCCTGGGCTATGGCCGCCACCGCCAAGAGTGAGGGCATCCCACGGCACCCCCCCCCCAGGCTCCAGGGGGACCCCACAGGGGAGAGAAGGCACCCACCCACCTCATTGGGTAGAAGGATGGGCTTGTTGGACTCGTCACCAAAGAAAGGTGAATGGTAGAGTTGCAGGAACACAAAACTGCAGGGGGAAAGATGGGGAGAGCCGGGCTGGGAGCTGCGGGCCAGGTCGGGGTCACAGCCAGTACTGTCCGCCCACGCACAGAACAGCAGACCTGAACCTCTCTTGTGGCTCCAATCAGCCACGGGGCCGAGGCCACGCGACCTGCAGCCCAGCCTGTGGCAGGGCCCCTCAGGTACCACGTCCCCACGGGGATCATCCAAGAGCTCCAGCAGCTCCAGCCCCAGAGAGCAAGGCTCACCTGGGATTGATGCCTGGCACCTTCTCAGTATTGGAGGCCCCCGCTCTGCTCTTGAAGGCGTCCTTCTCTGCTCTCTTGCCTCTGCGTGATGGGGCCGAATCAGAGATGGTGTAGCCTCTGGGCCGCAGGCCACTGGGGGAGCGGGGGCAGCTAGAAGGCAAGGGGCCCTCGGGCTGCGCGGGGCCCCGGCCCCGGCTCTCTGCGCCTGGGGCTGACCAGGAGGCACCTGCCCCGTCCAGGATCCCGGACTGCGACCGGGCCTTGGCCTCAGGGCTCAGCCGGCCAACGTCAGTCTTGTCTCCAGGGTCCCCCAGCACGTCCTGCAGGGTCTGCAGCTCAGGCGAGGAGCTGGACTTGCTGAGGGGCTGGGAGGGCTGGAAGGAGAGCTCCACAGAAGGCCGGGTGCCCTCAGAAGAGACGGCCCGCTCGATGGGGATCCCTCCAGCCGCCAGCTCCTCTGCAGGGAACTTCTCCTCTTGGCTGGAGCTCGAAGATGACTGCCAAGGAGGAGTCCACGGGACCTCTGTTAGGAGGTACCAGCGAGCACACCCAGGGCTTCACTTGGAGGCGATGAAGTCCCCCCACGCCCCTGGCAGGGCCACAGAGCCCCTTAGTGGCAGGCGGACAACTGCATCCTCTCCCCCAGGACGGCACCGGCCGGTGCCCCACGCCGAGCAGGGGAGACCAGCGCCCGCTCAACCAAAAGGACACCAACGACCAGCAGCTGTCAATCTGCAGGGCCTGCTGGGGAACCCCAGACTGTCCACGCAAGACTAAGAAAGATAGCTAGACTTTTTTTAAATGACAAAAGCGGGGGCAAAAGACTTGCCAAAGTTCTGAGCAAGACCATGCGCGCCACGGAGCATGGAGCGAGGCCCTGCCCCTCTTCCCACAGTACCCTCCTCCCGCTCCCAGGGGCGAGCACCCCCAGGGCACCTAGGGCAGCTCGGGCGCCCTGAGGCACTCACCCTGCTGTAAGCCTCAGCACGGTCACCACGCCGGTCTGTGCCTAGCGTTGCCTCAAAGTCCTCCAACTCCATGGGCTCCGCGGACAAATGAGCCTCGCTTGTGCTCCCCTCCTCCGGGACCACTGCCGAGTCTGGGAGGACACAGATGGGGCTACTAGGTGCTGGCCCGGCCCCTGGGAGCTCACATGGCCTCAAAGGTACCAGCCTCTCCCCAGCAAGAGAGCGCAGTGGGCCCCGCCACGGCCTCACCCCAGGCCTTACTTGCCTGTGGCTCTGTGCCGCCCACACCCCATCAAGTCGCTGCAGGAGGGCACCGAGGGGCGCGGTGTGGCCCCTGACACAGGGCATCTCCAACACAGGCTCCCAGGGTGGGGGCGAGGGAGGCATCTGGCCCCTGGGATCCACATCCCAGGGTCCACAGAGCCCGCCCCCGCTGCTCCAGCGAGGTAGACGGGCAATGGCAGCACAGACCCCCAACAGGGAAGAGCCCCCGCCTAAGACGGGGCCTCAGCTCAGGAGAAGCGGCGGGCCTAGACCAGCTCCCAGGAACAGGCGGAGGCCGGAGTTCCTCCTTGACCCGAGGAAAAGCCTGATGCAGGAGGAACCCCTGTGCGCACACACAGACGGGGAGCCCATTCCAGAAAGCAGAGATGCGCCATCGGAGCCCAAGCCAAACCCGGAGCCAGGAGCGCCAAGGAAAGGTCACGACACCCCAAAGCAGCATTTCCTGTGCCAGTGTCAGGATGGGGGTGGGGGGTGAGAAGCCACCGAGAGTTAGCGCAGCCCGCGGCCGCCCCGCGTACAGCCCTCGCACACGCGTGGTCTGTTAGCCACCTGCCAGAACCCGTCTGCACGCTGCCCTTTCCGAACCAGCTCCTGCCCACGCGTGGGGGCCCAGGTGGGCCAGAGGGTCGTGTCGGTCAATCCCCCGCTGCCGCCGGGGCCCGGAGGCAATGGGCCAGCCCATGATGAAAAGCAGACACAGCCCAATTTGTGGGTTCACCGAGCCAATCACACCACCAGAGGCCAGGGCAAGGTCAGCCCAGCTGAGCCGCAGGGCCAGGCTCGCCCCGAAGAGCATCCGTGGCTCAGCGGCCCGACGTCACCTCCCGAGGCCTAAAGAAGGGGCAGCGAGGGCCCATCCGGCGGGACACAGAGCTCGGCCGTCAAGGGCACAGGGCAGAGGGGCCCGCTGGCCAAGCGCAGGCACTCTGCACGGACGTCCTCATGCGAGTCGGGGCCCTGCTCCCAGGGGTGAGGAGTGGCACCGGCAGAGTTGTGGAGGGATGACCGCATGAGGGACGGCAGGAGCGGCGGGTGCGAGGCAGGGCGAGGCTCTGCGGCAAACAGCGCCTTCCTTAAAGAGGTGTACGAATACCTGCCCAGGAAATGCTCCTGTGCAGCTTTGCTTGGCAACTGGACTGGCACAGGGAGGAGAAAGAGGCCACTGCAAGGAAGACCGCGCGCGGCCGGTCAGCAGCAGCACAGACTGCGCACAGTCGAGCAGAGAGGAAAGGCAGCACTAGTCCTGCACAGAGCCCGAGCCTGGAGGGAGAGAGCGGAGGGCCAGCGGCGGCCGGCCGGCAGCCGGGGGGAGGAGGGGGCGGAGGGGGGCCGGCCCTCCTCACCAGCGGAGGTCCTGGGCCTCGAAGCGCCATGTGGGGCCACAGGGAAGGCCAGAGAGTGGCCCGGAAGGAGCGCACCAGCCCCGCCAGGCAAGGGCACGAGAGCGCGCAGGCAGGCTTAGCTGTGCTCCGCGCATCCAAACCCAGACCCAAGCGCAAGTGCGGCTGCCCTCCTGGGGCCACGGGCACGCCGGGGACGGTGCAGGGCACAGGGTTGTGCGGGGCTCTGCTGCGTCCGCCCTGGAAGCACCTGCCTGCCTCTCCGCGAGCGGCATGTCTCTAAAGAAGGGGGCCCTTCCATAGGAGCCGGCCCTGCTCCCAAACACCAGGCTGTGGCAGCGGCAAGGAGAGCTCAGGGAGCCGGCTCCAGCGTGGCCCCATGGGGGGCAGGGGCGCGATGCCTGCATGCGGCACTCACCCGTGTTAGACCGCGGGGGTGGAGGGGGCTTGGATGAGCCCGCCGCCGGCACCGACAGCGACTTGTACAGAGCTGTGTCGCGACGCTCCTTAAAGCGCTCGGCGGCCATGAGCGCGTTGGACAGCTCCTGCAGGGGCATGTTGTTGATGTCCGAAGAGAAGGGGCTGAGTGGGTTCTCCAGGCTCATCAGCCAACTGGTGTTCCCTGAGGAGAAGCATAGGCAGCACACTTTAGGCATCCAAACACCCCATCCCCTCCCGGCGCTCCTGGAGCAGCCCATCCCCTGCCCTGCCACCGGGTGTGCTGTCCTTAAGGGCACGTGCCTGGGCTCAGCAGGGTTCCTGTGCTCAACCAAGGAGTGACGGGGAGGGGGATAGACCCCAGGCAAAGGCATGCCCACGGCTTGCCCCAGACCCCCAGGTTAGGGCAGCACCTGTGCAGCGGTCACCTGCCTCACATGAGGAGGGGTCTCAGCGCACACCACTCTCCACCCCAGGGCAGCTCCCGGGCCCTGGCCAGGCTTGGTGGAGGCATCTCAAAGCCCCAGACCTCGCCATAGAGAAGCCTGAATGGGGGGCCTTCTGGGCTCTGTCCCTCTCCCCATAAGGCCCAGGAGCCCACACTTTGAATCAACCTTCCACGCTGAATGTCTTCCAATCCCGAGCATCTCACCCAACCTGACCCACCTCCTCTTGCCCTGCCTGGGCCTCCCCGTCCAGTGCCCACCTGCCCCCTGCCTGTTCCCCGCCAGGAGCCAGGACCCGCGGCCCTTCTGCCCACACTCGAGTCTCCTTGGGGCCTGCTATCCAGCCCTCTCCTGTCACCACTCGCCATGCTGTGCCCAAAGCAAGTCTCAGGCCCTGGGCCTCGGCTTAAGTTCTTGCAATACCCATTACAGGCTGAGTCATGTCCAACAAAATCCATGTATCAGACTCCTGACTTCCAGCAGCTCAGGAAACCGCTCATTAGGGTAAAACAGAGCCACAGGGGTGGCCCCTAATCCCCTGGGCCCTTCCAAGAAGAGGAGACAGAACACAGACCCACAAGAGGGATCGGCCCTGCCACCACTGTGACCCAGGATTTCCAGGCTCGGGGCGGATGAAAATACACGAACGTATCTGCGGCTGAAGGCCCCCAGGCCACGGTGCTCTGTGAGGGAGGCCCTACCACTTAGCCGCCTGGATCTCCCCTCACCACTCCCCTCTGGGCACTCAGCTCAGAAGTCACAGAGCAGAGGCCCGCTTGGCCCTGTGTGCCTGCCACTCACTGCCGGGTACCTCAAGCCCTGGCAGAGGCCCCGGCATGCTGAGCACAGGCCCGTCCGTACCTGTGGGCCTCCGGACCAGGATCTCTGCCCAGCCCTGGGTCAGCAGGGGGACATAGGCTGCCAGGCTCGTCTTCTCCTGCACTGGGAACTGGGTACCAGCTGACGCCCTCTCAGACTTGCTGGTGAGAGCAGTCTGTGCACCTGGGGAAGTGGGGCCACCCGGGAAGTGGGAGGCTGGAGTGTCCAGGGCACCAACACGAAGGCCATGGCCCCCTGAGGAAGAGAAGGGCAAGAGTGCCAGTGACCACCACCTGCCCGATGCAGAGCCACCAGCCCAGAACCGGCTGTTCCGCCCAGGGCCCAGCGACTGGAGGCTGTTCAGCCCTCCCTGGGCACAGCCCTTGTACGGCGTCGGGCTCAGTGGACCCAGGGCAGTAGGAAGGGGCCATGGCCGGACCAAGTCTCATTCCAGCTGCAGCATAGAGAAGCTTTAGGGGCGAGCTGGGCTAAGAACCAGGGCAGCCAACAGTTTGCTGGAAACACTGGCCATGAGGAATAGACCCATGGCCACGAGGGGGCCTCAGGCCAGCTGCAGAGAAGGCACGCCCCCTACTACACAGCCCTGTGGCTAGGGCTCACAGAGACAACACCCCAGTTGTTCAACCACCTTGTCCCCAGGCTCTGAGAAGTCCTTGCAAGCGCGCGGACCCACAGGCACCTGTGAAGGAGGCAGGGTGGGGCCCAGGCTCACCGGACATGGAGCGGACCCGGTCCCGGGCCCCGCGGCACACCTGCTGCCCAGCCTGGGACTCCAGCTTGGCAGGCGCCTCCTTGGTCTGTCTCACATGCGCGCCAGGGTCTGAGCTGAGGGCAGAAGGGTCCGTGCAGAGCATGACCAAGGTGCCTGGGCCCAGGACGGCCTCTGTCAAGGCCTGCAGGGCAGGGGGTGGAAGGCACAGTCACCTCGACTCGGGGCCACCCTGCAGCTCTCCTGAATCCAAGCCCAGCAGCGACCGGGTCCCGGTCCCCACGCTCGTTGTCACGGTAACAAGCTTGTTCCCAACCAGCCAGGTTTTGGTCCTGCCGCCAGCCAGGAGGAACTCGCCCACAGGTGACCTGAGAAACAAGAGCGTCAGCCGACACCTCACCCTCCGTGGGCTCTCTGAATGGGCATCTTGGTTTCAAAGGTGCGTGGACTGCAGTGGGCCCTGGTCCCCAGAAGAGTGGGGCCCCACGATGCGCAAAGCAGCCTGGCCAGGGCCTCGCCTGCTGCCGCTGCTGCCGAGTTTGGTCACAGAGGCCGAGCCGGGCGCTGGCCTCCCGCCCCGGGGCCCAGCCCGCACCTCTTGGGAACCGCTGTGAAATTGGAGAACACGTATCTGGCCATCATGTCCAGACATGTTTCTGTGAGCTCCAGGTGGAGATTTTTCAAGTTGTCATCAGCCTGGGCCATCGAATTCTCATCTGCAGACCCCAAGCTGGCGCTGGTGAGGGACGTCTGGATCCTGCTGGAGGGAGGGCCCCCGCGAGGTCAGGGACCGGCCAGGGCAACTCATCTCCCACCAGGGGCCAAAGCTCGAGGCATGCAAGTGCTGGGAGGGCTGCGCCCACACCCCCACACCCCCACAGGGCGCACGGCCAGTTGAGCCACAGTGTGGCAAACCGCGCGGACACATCGTCCCAGAGAGAGGAGGGGCAGGGCCTCACGTGAGAGACCCAGGCCCACTCGTCAGAGCAGAGGCTCAGGAGACAAGGTAGAGACCGACGTCCCCTCACCGAAGCGCAGGAGAGTTAGGGGACGGCTTGGTGGCAGAACAGTTTAGTCATGCAGAGACACAAAGATTGCATTCTGCCCACAGGGCCACCTCCTGATGACAGGGAGGGTCTGGGCTTTGTGTGCCGCTCTTCCCCCTCAACTCAGGCCCCCGGGGCCCCACAGGCACCCAGCGACCAGGAGAAGCAGCTCATGCAGGTTTAATTCTGATACGAAATTTCACTGCCCCTTTGCCATGTTTGGCTTGTGTTAAAGAATTTGTTAGAAAACAGCTAAGAGCTTCGCTGTCCCCATTCCCCCATTCAAACCCCACTCAGCAGAGGGCCAGCCTGAGGCTGGAGCCTAAGCCAGGCAGCGGTGAGGAGGTGGGTCTCCGAGCTTCGGACTCGAGGCCTGAAGGGACTTCCTGGGGAGGACACAGCCCCCCGCCCAGCTCAGTGCAGCCTAGCCCGGTCGGCGCAAAGCAGTGACCCCCAGAGCCCACACCTGCACTCAGACACGGCAGGGGGAGTGACCAAGGGCACGCCCCTTGACAGTTCAGGCCTCCCCAGCCCCCGCCTCCTCCCAGGCTGGCCCCCTACCCCCGCTGCTCTATACAGAGCCCCCCCCCACCCCGTTCCCTTTCAGCTACAACAGAAAGCACCCCTCTACTAAAAGAAAGCTCAAGATTAAAATCCACTTAAGAGAATAAGAAAGCCAAACCCTAGAATGTTTCCTCCCCCAACCTGTGTGGGCGCCGCTTTAATATGCGAAGGCCCCTTACCTCCGGGGACAGGCCTGCACGTAGCTGCCACCAGACGCCTGGCTTTCTCAGAGCTACAGCCCTGCTCCAGGCTCCCAGGCCAGCCTCTGAGGAGGCCGTGCAGCCAGCCCGTGCTCGGACGAGGCTTGGGGACAGAATGCAACCTTTCCACCCCTCACCTCCAGGCTCCCCTGGACTGAGGGCTGCCCCTCAGGTTCTCCTCCAGCTCCGGCTAGGGAGGGCGTGGGCAGGCGACGAGCTCATGCAAGCAGCCCCATGCACCGCCCCCCCGGGCACTCCCGCCTGGCAGGGCCGCCTCGCGGGCCCCACTCCAGGGCCTGAGCCCCCCGCCCGACGGAGCCCACTACCTGCGGACCACATGTTCAGACACACTGATGCTGCGGCACCGGAAGGCCTCGGCTGCAGGGCTCTCCTTGAATTCTTTCACGGGTGGAGAGTTATTCAAGCCTTGTTTGGGGGGTCTGGCTATCCTCAAACTACCAGGTGAGGAAGGAAGGCCCAAGCCCCAGAGAGCCCAGCTCCCGGGAGGGGAGAACAAGCCATTGGAGGGAGGAGGAGGAAAGGTCACAGGCCACAGGGTCAGGATGGAGAGCCCGCGGGTGAGATGAACAAAAAACCATGCCAGAGGCCAGTTAGCAGGGGGAAGAAACAGAAAATAAAAATGCATGAAAATACATGTCATAAACGTGACTGAGAAAAAGTCAGGTTTCACGCATGGAACCAAAACAAAGAACATTAGTGCAAATTAAACATGTATGGAGCGCTATGCACGGCAGATTCCAGGCTGTGCTGACCAGGCGCCCCACCCACCCCGCTCAGGGGCCGGGACGCCCCAAGGCCCTGAAGGTCACCGCTCAAAAGGCCGGTTCTTAGCTCAAGGCCCCTGGCGCCCAGCTACTGGGAGCTTGGGAAGCCAGCTTTTGACTTTAGGTCACACTGACCTGGTCATTCTGGAAAATGCCGTATCCCCACCAAGGGAGAACTGAAAAGCTTGGGTGGGAAGGCAGGGACAGAAAGAGGAGTCGCCGTTCGTAGGAGATGCAAACAAGACACGAGGCCTAGCACAGTTCTCTCAGATCTGGCAAAAGCGGCTGTGATGGTCCAGAGGAGCATGGCCCCTGCTCAGCAGGGGTGGAGAGCAAGCTCAGGAGGACAGGCAGCCCCGGCCTGAGACTGGGCTGACCACAGGGCCCCGGAGCTCCACCCCAGCCGGGCCAGGGATTCAGCTTCTCAAGAGCCACCGCTGCCCTGACGCAACCCGAGGCCCATCTGGTGGAGCCGGGCCCAGGCGCCCTATAGCGAGCACCCTGATCGCCAGCTCTGCGAGTCTGCACTCGGGGGCTCAGGCAGGCCCGGCCACAGTCCAGCACATGGGCTCCATGACACCGCAGGACACAGGGGTCAGCTGGGTGGGCAACAGCTTGCTCCTCCAGCTACATGAGGGCGCTAAGGGCCTTCACAGGCCCTGCCTCTACGCCAGGACCCCCTGGTGCCCAGCACAGTCTGAAAAGGGACATCCCCCAGTCACATCCCAGTGCTGCCGGCCGGCCTCAGGGGGGCAGGCCAGCCCAGACCCTGTGTGCACCACGCCAGTCACAAGTCACGCTCGCAGACCCGCCCCACTGTGCCCCATTCACTCTGCAGGCCCGCACCTCTTGGGCCTCTCGTTGAGACTGGTGCTTCGAGCTCTGAAGCTGTCCTTCTCAGGGGTGTCATCGAAGGGCAGGAGAACGTTGGAGCGCAAGCCCTGGCAGAGTGGAGCAGACCTGAGCCATCGGCAGGGGGACTGACCCCCCTGGTTCTTCCCTCCGTGAGCCTGCCTGCAGCGCACCGCATCCAAGCAGGCTGCACTCAGCAAGCGTGGCACCCAACGACACCCACTTCTCACCCCCGACATCTCCATGTCCCGGCCACAGACAGCCAACGGCAAAGTAGGTCCCACCCTAACTATGGGTTTGGCCTCCGCTGGCCTACCTTAGTGATAAAAGGAACAAAATCCTTCCGGAAGGGCAGGCGGCATCTAATGAACCACATGGCTATAACATGATGGGCCAAGCACACGATGTACTGATTAAACCTGCAAGAAAAAAAGGAAGTGAGGCAGCTCCGATGGGGCCCCGAGGCCAAGCATAGAAGAGAGGCCCCAAGGCCACAGGCCCATCGGAGGTCAAGGACCAGCATGGCTCTTGGCTGCAAGAGGCCTCAGGCTGGCCCAGGCCATGGGCAGGAGGGACGGGCCAGCACTCACTTGGAGGGGTTGGTGTAAGGCAGGGAAATGGCAAAGACGCTCGCGTACTGCTCAGCTGCGAAGTTCCGGTAGAGGTGGGGCAGCCGGGCCAGAGCTGCAACAGGACACATGGGTGAGGGGGCGCAGGTGGGCCGGGCAGATGCAGGCCCATGCCTGCTGTCGCCAGGAGCCTGTGCTACTCCCGAAAGCCAGCGCGGCCACCCTGACCTAAGAGGGCTGCAAAGGACTGAAGATCGCAGCCACCTTGAACATGACCTTCCCTTGACCCTTGGCTCTCTATTCCAAGGACTAATAAACTATGGTCCCCAAGGCCAAATCCAGCCGGTGGCCAGCACTCGTGTAACCCACGAGCTAAAGATAGCTTTTACATCTTTAAAAGGCTGTAACAAAAAGAACGTGCAGCAAAGGCCCTACGTGTCTCTTTGCAGAAGCACTGGTGGCCCTGCTCTGCCCCTGTCACCTCCCTGCTGAGGGCCAGATGCGCACTAGGGTACTGGGAACGAGGGGGTGAGTGGGGCAGGTGAGCAGGGAACCCTGAGCTCCTGGAAGCCCCTCCCTGCTGTGGTGTGTGCCCTGAGGGGAAGTGAGGGGAAGCTGTGAGAGCCCAAGTGCAGGGGCCCATGTCCAGCAATAGAGGCTTCTGGGCCATTTAAACTGACACTGAGGATAAGAATGGAGCCGGCTGCTGGAAGGCCAGAAAGGAAAGCATTCAAGGCTCAGGGGCAGGAAGTGCAAAGGCCCTGAGGCAACAGAGGATGGCACACCCCAGGTGCTCCGTGGAGTTGTATCCCAAGAGAGGCGGCAAGATGAGGTCAGCAAAGCCAGCATGAGTGACGACCCCAACCCCAAGGGTCCGCCCCACCCTCACACGTGCACTCGTTTGCACACAGAGACGGGCAGGGAGCCAGACGCTTACTTGACAAGAATTCGAGAAGTGGAATGGCCATGCTGGCCGTGGCTGAGATGTGTGTGAGCTTCACGACCAGGACGGGAAGCGCCTTAATGATGATGTCAGGCATCTCCACGCTGCAGATGGCCAGCGCCACCACACACTGGCTAGCACAGCGGTGGATCAGGCCTTGCTCCAGGCAGTACACCATCTCCCGCTGTGGGGCAGCAAGGGTGCCTCAGACCCAGCCCGCCACGCCCCCGCCCCTGCCCACAGACAAGTGTCCCCTCACCCACTCCGGAATGTTCTACAGAAAACAGGATTAAGGCTTAGCAGGGCTAGCTGCCTCGTCCCAGGTCCCTGAGCCCCTAACCAGCACAGCACCAGGAGCTGAGCCCTCCCGAGGTGACTGGACAGTGGGGCAGCTGTGGTCAGGCACTTCCTGACGCTTCCCACCCGCCAACAGCGGCTGGCCGCCCCGGCGCCTCAGCCCACCCTGGAGCCAGGACACGCTGGGCCCATTACCCCTTTAGTTATGGGACCCCTCCCCCCACTGGTTGGCCTTATGACAGGGGAGGTTCTGCCTGACACAGCAAGGCCACCAGGCCCACTCAACTCCGGGAGCCCTCCCGCGTGAAGACACCATGCTGTGCCCAGCAGTTAACAAGTGCAGTGCGGGCCGCAGCCTCTGGGCAAACCCTGTAGCTCAGGGCCCCACAGACCACTTCAGTTTCCCGTAGCCAGCCCCATCCCTCAGACACACTCCGGGCCCCGAGGGTCCTAGGGACACCTTCAGCCCAGTGTGGCCAGCTGCCCAACGGGGAGCAGCCAGGAAAAACCAGGCCAAGCGGCACAGGAGCCCCCAGAGGCGGGGCAGCGGAGGGGCGCGGGGCACCAGCTCCAGACACCGCTGCCGTTGGCAGCGCAGGCCAGGCTCCAAGCGGCCCAAGTCTAGCGCAGGCCCCTCTCCCTGCTTGCTGGGAGTCCCTGAGGGCACTAGCCAACCTCTCCAAGACTTCGGTTCTCTCACCAAACACGGCCGGCTGACCGAGAAGCATCGGGACTCTAACAGACACGGTGGACGTGCCCAGCAGCGCAGAATCAGGGAGCTGCTGTGTGCCCACTGACAGCAGAGGCGCAGGCAGGTAGAAGTCAGGCACCCTGGGCCCCGCTGCCAGCCTCTCAACACAGGCCCAGCTCTGCCAAGAGGCCCAGCGCTCATCCTGAAGCCAGGCAACGCTCCCCAGAAAGAAAAGATGCCGCTGCGTGTGGGAGGGGCAGCAGAGGGCCCAGGCCCCCCGGGTGATGCCGAAAACGTCCGGCCGGGCTGGCTGATACAAATACCCTGCGGAGCAGGCTCGCCTATCCCTCTCCCACCTGGTACCTGTCTGGTCTTATCCAAGTAATTATGGTAAGAGATCAGCGCCGTCAGCACAGGAACCACAGCCAGATGCAGGTCGGTTCTGGAGAATCCTTCCGGGGTGCCTCGAAGCCGCTCCAGGGTTCTGGGACCTGAAAGCTGCAGACCAGGGCTCAGGTGGCAGCACGCCCAGCAGCGAGGAGAGGGCAAGTGCTAGGTGGCCAAGAGCCCGGGCCGGGGGTGGGGGGGCCTTCCTACGTCCTTTGTCTGGCCAAGGGTCTGCCTTTTCAGACGTGGGAGCGTGCCCACACCCAGAGGCCAGGGACAGACAGGAGACGGGAAGAGAGGGGAAAAGAGTCAAGACAGCACACTCGGATAGTGAGTTCAAGCCCTTCACAGAGGTCTCTGATTTCCTGCCCCCTGAGCAGGGAAGGGAGAACGGGGCCCCAGAGGCAGGATCTGCACTGCAGATAGGGGTCTGCATCTGAACGGGACTGCCCTCTCATGCGTCCACACATGACCTCCCAGCGCCTCATGGGCAGGGCAGGGCAGGAAGGCATTAGAGGTGGCCCCACCGTGAGGGGCGGCATTACCACGGAGCAGAGGGCGGAAGACAGCTGGTCGACGCTGCACGGAGACGTGAAGATGAGCACCTTGTAGCGCAGGGACTCGGGCAGCTTGCTGAGCACGAGCTTCAGCACCTTCCAGTCTGCCTCCTACAGGAAGAGCGGCCGCTCAGGGGGCAGTACGCACCTTGCAGGGGAAGACGCGCTCTCAGAGCCTCAAGCTGTGTGCAGCCAGGCAGTTGCAAGGCCTCTGGACCCCCTCTGTCCCCACAGGAGGACGTGCTCCCTTGAGAAAGTTCCCTGCTGCACGTCAGCTGCACCCTCCAGACGCCAGGCTGACCACCTCTCTGCCCTGAGCTGGCCCTGAACTCCCCACACCTGCCCCACCCTCCCCACGTGCCCACCGGTAACCCCCAGGCTGCCTGCCCAGGACACTGATGCCCATCCAGGGCACCATGAATGCATAGCAAGAGAAAAGCCCGTATCCTAACACCAAAGGAAAAGCAGCATGTATTCCTAAGTAAGCCACAAGCCCAGGAACCCACTCTAGGACCAAAATCCACCGAGGGCCACTGCAATGAGGAGGACGTGGTTGTGGCCCCCACTGGAACTTGCCTGGCGAGTCCTCCCCGCCTCATCGGGGGAGACCACGGCCTGTAAGCGTCACCAATGGCTGTGAGTCCTGAAAGCCTTTCCCCAGATTGAGCCTGTGACTCAGAGACCTTGAAACTCTCACAGAAAGTGCCCAACAGCCCCCTTCGGTGCCAACGCCTGGTGCCCCCGGTAAGGAGAAGCCGCTTCCCTGCATGTGGCCCTCGAGGGCTGACCTAGGCCAGCACAGGCTGCCCAGCCCCACGGCGGCACACCACTGACCACGTCGCCTCTCTTGCCGGCCCCTGTGCGGGAACAGGCCTCCACCCTGCCCCTCCGCGGCACGGCCCCAGCTACGTCTCTGCCGGCACCTACCCTACCTCCAGGCTCTGCTTGTCCTGCCCCTAGAAACTCTCCTGCCTTTCAGGGCCTCACCTGGCCCTCCAGGTGCCCCCAACCAGAGGTGACTGCACCACCCTGGTCGCACACAGCCCATCTCTGCCTCCACCTGATGCACGTCATCCAATGACTTGTTATCCGTCTACACACCTTCATCTTACGCCAAAGCCACCTCCCAGAGGCAGGAACACGTCCTCAGCTCTATGCCCAGCTCCACACGACGGGCCGCACGCAGCTACAGATGGTTACACACCCGCTGTAAACGTGGGGCGGCAGCGTGCCCCCGAGGTGGCTGACACAAGGACCAGAGCTGTGCCCAGCACGGCGGAGGGACCAGCCGGCTCACCTGCTTCAAGCACTGTAGGAGGACGCGGAAGAGCAGGGAGTAGGGCAGAGAGCCAAGCCGCACCGCGGGGCCTACGGGCGCAGAGCCAGGCGGCCCGGTGGGAGGCGACAGGGGGCCGCTGGCCTTCTTCTCCGGGCCCCTCTCCGGCTCCCTGTGGAAGCAGGCGGGACAAGCACTGAGGCCGCAGGTAGGTACCGGCGTGGGCACCCCGGCCGCCCCACACTGCCATTGGTGGGCTGCGGGACGTCCCTCGGACCCACGGGCATCCCCGGGGCAGGGAAGGGCTAGCTCCCCGGCCTGGAGCTGGGGGGCACGGCTGACACGCACATGGCGTCACAGACGCAGTAAGGGCTGAACCTCACGGCCCCATCCTTGCTGGGCAGGCCGAGGCGGTGCAGTGAGTCGGCCCTCAGCAGCAGCAGGAAGTCGAAGGCCTGTGGGGAGAGAGAGAGGTCCAGTGAAGCGGGGCCAACGCCAGGACACCGCCGGGCCAACGCCGGGCCCATCCACTCACATGCCAGCCTCTCTGGGAAAGGCCGTGCCCACTAACAGCACACACATCCCAACTGCACCGCGTCTGCGGCAGCGCGGGTGGCACCACACAGCCATTTCCGGCCTCCTGCCACAGCGCCCAGGGCCTGCCCCCAGGGCACAGGGGGAGCGTGGCCGCACCGCGCGCCACAGCCCCAAGGCCCAGAAAACACAACTGGTGCTCAGGCCCCCAGCACATCCTCCAATGAACGACAGGTCACTTAACCAGGCTGCGCAAATGACGGACAGCTGCCCCACTGCGCAGAGGCTCTGGAAGGGCCTGAGGCTTCCGTCCCAGTGACCTCTGCTCAGCCTGGTGCCAACATCTACGATGGCAGCTGCGGGCTGGTGTTCTGCCCCACGTGGCCTCACCCCACCACTGACAGATCGCGTCCCCAGGGCTGACAGGGGCTGCATCTCCTGAAAGTGATGGAATCCCATCTCTGCCCAGGCCCAGGGCCACCGCCTCGCTCAGCCCGGCGCACAGAGGCCTGAGGACGAGGACACAGACAAGGGGAAGGGCAGCAGGTCCTGGCAAGGCTGCAGCCACAGCCAGTGCTGAGGACGGAATCCTGGGCCCCCTGCCACCTCCCCAGCCTGGGGTCCCTGCAGGCACTACCAGGCCCCCAGGAAGCGGGCCACGGCCAGCCCTGAGCTGCAGCTGGTGCACCCAGAGCCGTGGACGGCCACCGGCCCTGTCGTACCTGCAGCCGGATGCTGCTTGCAATGGGTAGGGTGTAGTCGCGCCTGTAATGCTGCTCCATGTGGCTGACGAGCGTCTCGTACACACGCACCGCGTGGCTGGCAGGCAAGGCGTACAGCTTGGTCTGCAGAGACAGCGTGCCGGTCATTCGGGGGCAGGAGGCTGAAAGGCAGCCAGGGAGCCAGTGGCCCGGTGCCCAGGAGAGGGACAGGACGAGCTCTCCGCAGTGACCAGACAACGCACAAAGCCTTCAGGCTGCTAACTCCGCTCCCGGGACTTCATCCCGTGGACACTCCCACACGTGCACTCTCTCAGTTATGGCAAAAAATCAAAAACAACATGTTCGTGTCAGTAGCAGGGAATCCACTAATAAATCTTGGCAACATGTGCAACGGGGACCCGTGAGCCAAAAGCACATTCTCCTGCCACCTGCAGAGCAGGACAGACCAGGGGTGAGCGAGGCCCCGCGGGCTCCAGGGTGTGATCCAGGCCTGTCATCCCCACAGCGAGCCCCCTCCCTGCCCCACCTCCCCAAGAGGTGAGCCTGGGAGAGGCCAGGTAAGACCTTGGTGTGGGGGGTGCCACGGGGTGGCATGGGCTGGCCAGGAGCTGGGGGTCCAGCTGCAGCCAGAGGAACCCTCCATGGTTTGTGGTACTCTTGAGGAGAGCAGTGGGGCCTTAAAACATGGCTCACTGCTATTCTTTATCAAGAAAAATTAACAAAAAAACAAGAGGGGGAGGGGGGAGTTGGACAAATGCTCAGGCCAATTCAGAAAGCACTGCAGGGACAGCTACAGCTCGCCTTGCCTGTTCTGGCAGGAAAGACAGATGCAGTCTAAGTCTTTGCTATGTACACGCGACTTGCGTGTCTTGCATGGATGCAGATTACTTTTTAAATGAGAACCGCCTGACCCAGGACTTCGCCTCAGCTAGCCAACAATGTGGTACTGTGGCCCCCGGTCTGCAGGGCTGGAGTTCCAAGTGAGGGCAACGGACCACCTTCCCAGCTTCTCGGAGGCAGGAGTCTGGGCTCGCTCAGGCCGGCGCACTCCCTCACCCACCAGAGATCTAAAGGGGGCCGGGCTCCCATGACAGGAGGCCACGGAGGTGACGGAAGGCCATGGAGGTGCCAGCCAGCTTTCTGCAAACACTTCAAACTTCTGCACCAGGGAATAACCATCCCATGTAAGCGTTAGGGGACACTGTGTGAACGAGAAGCATTTGAGGCCAGTGATTCAAATACCACATTTTACGTAATACTGATGCTGGCCTGTGAGCTTGAGTGACGCTGACGCAGAGAGTCAGTGACAGGCCCAGCGGCCAGCAGCAGAGCCCAGGCGGAGGCCGGCTGGGGGCGTGGAGGGGCCGTGAAGGGGCCCGAGTGGGCCTGAGAGCACGGGAGGCCGGCCGCGGCACGGGGGGGCGAGCGCCAACCCCTGACAACAAACTCATCCACGACACACAAAGTCCTCTCACAACTCAGTAAAAAGACAAATGATCCCGTTAAAAAACAAGCAGAGGATCCGAACAGACGTTTCCCCAAAGGAGATATACAAATGGCCAACGGGCACCGGAGGAGGTGCTCATCCTCCTCACGAGGGGCATGCGAACCAGACCGCAGTAAGTGGCACTTTACGCACAGCAGCCTGGCTACGCCCCAGAGAAGCACAAGTTCTGCATGCTGGGGAGGATGTGGGGAAAGGGCAGCCTCAAGCACTGCTCCCGGCGATGGAGTGGCCCCTGTGGAAGACATTCTGGCCGCTCCGTGAATGATTACGCCCAGGGTCGCCATCCAAGCCGTTAAGTCCACTCACAGGCATGCACCCAAGAGAAGTGAAAACCCCTCTACACACACACTGGTGCACAGACGTTCACCATGGCGGGATTCACAGTGGCTCAAAGGTGGAGCCACCCAGTGTCCATCAGCACAGGAACCGATAAGCCAAGACGGCAAATCCACACGAGGGACGACGAGCCATCCGAGCGAAGCACTGAGCTCTGCTACCAGCCAGGTGAGCCTTGAGACGCTCAGAGCCGCACACTGCACAAGTCCATCGTTATGAAACGTCCAGAACAGGCAGATCCACGAGAGACACAGTGGACTGGTGGTTGCCAGGGGCCAGGGTGTTGAGGGGGAATGGGGAGGGACTGCTAATGGATGTGGAGTCCCTTCTGGGGAATGAAGACGTTCTAAAGTTGCAGTGATGCAGCGATGACCACACAAGTCTGTGGAGATACTGGAAAATCCACTGGATTACACGCTTGAAGTGCATCAATTCTATGGTACGTGACTCTCTCTCTCAACAAAGCTGTTAAAATCACCCCGCAACCACAGGGCCAAAACGGATGGCAGGCCTCCCCACCTCGGCAGTGGTGGTGAGAACTGGTGGGGGGGAGGGGGGGACAGCCCTAGCTTGGGGGCATCTCTGGACTGGCCCTGCAGCCCCACGAGCCCCCTGCGCTGTGACAAGGAGTCTGGGTCACACCAGGGTGCCATCTGCGACCCTCAAGGACTGCCCTGGTCTCCCCAGAGACGTGTCCCTGCAGAGCAGCGTTTCAAGAGGCGGCTGGTTGGCGTGCCCTCCCAGAAGAGCAGAGGCCCACCTGAAGGATGACCAGGAGCCCCAAGACGGCGGTCTTCACATCCTCTAAGGAGGCTGAGTACGCCGCCACATCTCTCTCCTCCAGCTCAGGGGGTGGAGAAAGGGAGCGGGCAATCACCTTTAGAAAGAAAATGTGGATTCAGCTCCCCGGCTTGGGGCTCCCTCCAGCGGAACTGGTCAGACCCAATACTTTCTCCTTTATTTCTCAAAAGCTGCATTTTACACAGCTGAGGAACAGTTCAGAAAGTGCGCTGTATTTCACAGTTAAGAGAAAAACATGCTGGCTATGCAGAAGGACAATGCGCCCGAGCCCCAGTGCCCAGCCCAGCTCCCCGTGGGGCAGGGCCACAGGTGTCTCCCAGGACCCACCGCAGCGCCAGCCCCGCCACATCCCCGCTGGGAGGGGAGCCCTGCCTGAAACGCAGCCCATCGCTCTGCGGAGAACGGGGACAGAAGGTCCAGGGGCCAGTGCTGCTGTGGGGCTTGGCCACAAACTGAGGTCCCTCTGGCAGCCCAGGTACCCGGAGCCCCGGGCTCGAGTGGCCCTCACCTTTTCCACAATGTCCAGCAGGCTGTTGAAGTGGTGGGTATGACAGCCTTCAGCCAGGTCCACCAGCAACTGGGTGGCCAGTTTCCGGACTTGGGGGTCTTTGTCCTCAGGGACGTGGGAGAGCTGGGAGATGACCACTGAGCTGATCAGCTCCTCCTGTGGCAGCACAAGTTGGGGGAGGTGAGCCACGTGGGGCAGGGACGTGGCAGCACCTGAGGGGCGCTCTGCACAGCCCCTCAGGGGCCTGGGCCCACAGGGCCAGGCATGATGCAGGAATGAGTGTCCTGGCTAGCTACTGCCCATTCGATGTCACGGTGGTGGGCCCCCGTGTACATGCGCCCGAGGTAGGAAGACCCTGTCCCTGACATCACGGGGTCCACTGTGTTGGATAGTGTGACAACAGCTTTCAGAGGCAGGTACAAAGCACCATGGCAGCAGAGAGCAGGATGAGATCGACCCTGACATGAGGAAGCTGAGAACCCAGAGGGGCTTCCTGGAAGAGGCAGCACTGGATTCCAAGGGACAGAGATACAGAAAAAAGGAAGGCTAAGAGGGAAGGAGTGGGCAGACCGGTGCTGGGAACACCAGAAACGCTGGTGAGGCTGCCCTGAAGAAGCCACACAGAGCCTGAAGTGCAGCTCCTAGGGGAATAGGCATGCGAGCAAGGGACATGCAAACGTGTCTGAAGGATGGACTTTGGCCACAGACCAAGTAAAGGACAGACCGGAGGGAAAGAACCAGCAGTAGAGAGGAAGGCAAGACATGGAACCACACTGGTCGGGCTGGGACTGGAGAGTATGAGCACAAAAACTAAAGAAAACTTCCCTACAGGAGACTCTGCTCAGAACTTTTGTTCTAGGTCCTGAGCAGGCCCGCGATGCCTGAGGGCAGCCCCGCAACACTAGGCCCAGCATAGGCCTGGCGGGAGGCAGGAATGAACATCCGAGCGCACAAACGGGGTAAACCAGGCCTGTTAAGAAAGGCTGCCACAGAAGAGCACCTGTTGGACCCCAAGTCCAGGGCAGACCCAGGAGGCTCGCAGAGATCCCACCCCTCTAGCCCACTGACCCCAGGGCATCCCCCCCAACACCCCCCAACAGGACTCACACCTCATAGAACTGCCTGTTGATGAGCAGCACGAAGGACAGGACATCCAGCACCTTGATGCGAACGGCACTGCGGGATTCATTCCTGGGGGTGGGGCACACCTGCTGGGGCCGGGGTAGGGGGCACCAGGCCCCAGCTCACCCCGCACCCTGCGCCCCAGGCCCATACGCCTCTGCGGCAGGGGAGAGCCACTGCGGACTCCGCCCTCATGGGGCCTGGCTTGCCAACATCCAGACCAAACACGGGGCGACAGGGCAGAGCGCTCAGCCCTCAGAGCAGCGTCTTTCTAGACGACCACTCCACAGGAGCAAGCACACGCAGGTGCCTCAGAGGACTCTGTCTTACCGGAAGACTAACCTGCTCTCACTCCTTCCAAGAATGAGAAAGGAAAACCCTGACTGGACCGAGCCCGGGCTCCAGGGCCAGGCTGGCCTCCGAAGGCTCCCTACCTGAAGAATCTCTCCATCAGCAACTGCAGGTTGTGAATCCAGCCGTCCTTCGCCGGATGGATTGACTGTGCCCTATAGGTTATTAAGTTTAAGAGGGAGGACTCCTGTGGAAGAAGAAGCCTGGCATTAATGAGCTGCTCTGCCCCGAGGAGGTTTTCCTACACTCATGGCCGGCCGGTTGCTGGCCCCGGCGTGGGGGGTCCGCTTACAAATGCCAGCCTCTTCCCTAGGTGGGCACTAACAAAGGCACTAACCGCAGTGGTGAGAATTCACTTAAAAACCCACACAAAAGCCTTGGCATCAGGCTGTGGGTTCCTGGCACGAGTGCTTCCTGCTGCCCGGTGCACAGATGCACCAAGTACCAAATCTCCACGGAGCCGGCCAGCACCTTCCTCCGCACAGGTGGGAGGAAGCTGACTGCTAGGCTAGCACCACATTTAACCATCCCACACGCAGTCAGCCTGCTGACGCCCCAGCAGACTTCCTGGGAAAGCAGGAGCCTGCCGGCCAGCCCTTCAATTCAAACTCACACAGAGCCATTTCAGCCGCAGTGTCCCACCTCTCCCCCAGCAGCCTGACCTCAACCACCCTCTTGCCCGAGCGCCAAAGGCCCCGCCAAGTTGGGAGAGAAGCGGTCTTACAGGCCTCTGGTCTGCACATCGCTCAACCAGCTCAAAGTATCTCTCCTGAGAGCCGTGGAACTCGTTCTGGTCACACAGCTCTTCCACTGTGGTCAGCAGGTCGTGGACGATAGCTCTGAGCTCCGGGCTGTCCAGGCTCTGCAACACAAAGGTGCAGTTACGGACGGGTGACTTCAGCTCCCCTCAAGGACTCGGCCTCAGAGTCCTAAGCTCCAGCGAGTTGCATGCAGACACCCCCTCAGGTCTTCCCACTGGGACACAGGGGGCAGCTGGGCCCTTCTTGCTCATTTGGGGAGTGAGGGCCCCAGGAAGTCCTGCTCTGCCCACCCAGCAGGCCTTAAAGGGATCAACTCTGAGGATGTTCATGTGTCCCCAAGGCTCAAACATCTCCCAGAGGCCCCAGGGCTGTGGCCTCCCAGCCTGCCACTCCAGGGTGAAGCAGGGCCTGGCTAGCTGGTCGGTGACAGCGGTTGGTCCGGCAGCCAGGCCCTGAGGAACAACAGTCCAGTCCTCAGTCCACTAGCCTGGCCACGCACATCCCCAAGCACGGGCCCCAGTCCCTGGGCCCTGCCCCCACCCCGCCCCCAGGGAGGCCCCAGCCCTAAGCCCATGCTAGACACTGCAGTCCCTGCGCTGCACCATGTCCTCCCCTCCCCACCCCGTTAGTACTTCAGCCAAAGTTGTGGCAAAGTGGGCACCATCCCATTACCCTTACGGCCTCAAGTGACACCAACCCCACCCCTCGCCCACCTGCGTTCCCAAAGCACAGAGCAGCGTCAAAGCCAGCCACCTTCAGTGGGCAAGAGTGCAAGGAGCTGTCTGAGCACGCGGTGGGGCAGGCACGGAGGGAGAGCGCTCCTCACCAGGAGATGAGCCGCAGGCCCCCAGCCACCCCGGCAAGGGCCCCATGGCCTGCCAGCCCACCATCCCAGTGCCCCCCACCCCCTGGTGCCCACGGCCTTCTGGCCACCTCACCTGGAGCTGCTGAAGCAGGCGCTCCATGATGTTCAGCAGGATGTCCCACGCCACAGCCTGGAGCTCCCTGCGGTACTTCTTGATGAGTCTGGTTATAGAAAGCACGATTTCGTAGGACACCACCTCGTTTGGACAGGTCATGGCCTGGAACAAGAGACCCAGGGAACACACAGTGGTCAGCTGCTTCCTGCTCCTGCCCGGCAAGCCCCCCGTCCCATGGCCCTTAGGACCGCCTCTCCCGGACCTGCTCCCCACACGTCTCTCACAGGCCACAGAAGAAGTCTCTCAGGAGCCCAGAAACAGTCTTTCTACCGTGGCTCCAAAGGGCTGGACTCTGCCAGACCACTCACTGCCAATCCTGGGCCACTGGCTCACCAGCCTACAGACCCAGAGTGCTACCCCTGCAAACCAAGAGCACCGCCCAAAGAGCGGGTCGTGGCAGGAGGGACCAGGCCCGGGACACTGTGCAGCATAGAGCCCGGACCCGGCTCACAGGGTGCCCTGCCCACAGTGTGAGAACGTGCACAGCAAGTGCCCTGAACGCCGGCGGGCACCACCGACACAGAAGCTACATCTTGGGCCTCGCTCTAGAGCAAGAACAAGACCAGCGCTTGACGAGATAAAACCGTCACGTTGGGGAATGTGAAGTAGTTCTGATGCTTATCTATAGGAGGTGAAATCCGTAAGACAAAACCCCCACTTAAAAATAAAACCTTCCAAGGGTCCTAAACCTCATGGTCTCCAAGATACAAAGCAAGTGACCAAAAGCCACGCCCCGTCCCCGCCCCCCCCAGCTTCTATGGTGCACAAACCAAGTCACCTCATAAAACGATGGCAGCACGGACGTCGGGGAGTTCTTGAGGGAGTAGAGTCGGTGCGCTCCCCAGAGAGCCATGCCCACAAAGAACACAGCCCCTCTCAGCAGTGGGGCATCTTCCATGTAGGCTCTGGAACAATCCGCAGGAAGACCACGTGTCAGGGGAGCCCATGCAGCCTCCCCCGAGCTCCCTGCTCTTATAGGGCAGGCACACAGGATGTAAGCTCTAGCTCTAGCACAAGCTTCTGAAACAGCCACCCCAAAGGGACAGAAATGCTCTCAGCCCCCCGGAGAAGGCTTTGTGGCAGCTGACCCAAGCCACCTGGCCCACCCGGGGCCACCCCAGGCCCGGCACACACTCGCCTGTCCTCCATGATACGACACATGTTGTAGATGGCACTGTGGCCCAGGTGGGTGCCCAGGAGGTTACGCATCAGCTGGGAAACAGAACGCACCGCCATCAGAGATGGGCAGAAAGAAGCCCCAGACCCCGGGGTCCAGCCTCGCACAGCCACCGCTCTGAAGCCCTCCGCGTCCAGCCGCTTCTCTGCCCCCTCCTCCCAAACACAGAGGCTGTAGAATTTTCAAAATGCTACTAAAACCCTGGCCTCAGCTCAGCCCCCTGGGAAAATGTTACTGGAGTCCCCTCAACAGGGCAGATGGCCATTTCCTGAACACAGCACGGCCCTTGTTCTGTCCACGTGCCTAGCTTTTAACTTCATCCAGAAGAACTCTCCAAAATAACAGTTCAGACCCCCACCTTCCAGCAAGGCTCACAAAGCTCCTTGACATTGATGGTACGGCAGAGGGTGACAATGAACAGGGGGAGGCTCTCAGCCGGCAGGCAGTTGTAACAGACCACGGCATCCAGCACCTGCAGGGAGACCTGGGGGGAGGGGGAGGGGTCACACTGGCCCTGCCCTGCCTCCCGCCCGCAGGGAGGTGACCCCCTAGCCTCCTTCCCACCCTCCTTTGGCCAGTGACTGCCGCCCCTCCCCACTGCCAAAGCAACCTTCCTTAGAACAGCAAGAGCGAGTGAGCATCACCGTCACTGTGGGTCCCCATCCTGAACTACTACCCCACGACGGAGGTCATCCAACCAACCACCCTTACTGCAGAGTCCTGAGCACCAGAGAGGCCAAGCAGCCAGCCCAGGGCCACACAACCAGTGAGGGGCAGTGCAGGGCCTGAATCCAGAGCCGGGGTCTCAAGTGCTCCACCACCCAGCCTGCCCAGGAGGGTGAGAGGAACCAACCCTGGGGAGGACCAGCTACAAACCTCTATGTCCACGGACGACACGGTCTGGACGCACAACAGGCAGATCATGCTGTTGGAGGAAGCGAAAAGTCAGTGGAAGGATGTTTCTCAGAGACTGCGTGGCTCCATCTCACTTTCTGGTGACTCTACAAGTCAGTTAAATCAAGAACTTGACTCCCTGAGGGCTCCACTCACCCAAAGACAAGTAGGTGCCTGCCCTGGGCCAACCACTGCTCAGCGCTGGCTGGAAAGCACCAGCAAGACCCAGCCCCTGCCCTCATGGCTCCCAGAGTATGTGAACAATCAACAACAAAAATGACTACAAAAACCTCAGCTAACATAGTCCGGCTGGTAAAGAGAAAACGCTATCGTTCTATGAACGTTAAGCAGAGGGCGGCTGCGCTGCTCCCAGCAGCTCCAATTGTTTGCTGATTCTAGCAGCTTTAGTCACACTGCGGAGCTACACGCAGCGCCCAAAGGCGACAGGACTACGATCAGAGGGATGTTATTGGAAGTCTTCTTACTGGACCATTGATGCAATATATTCATCCAGGTAGCAGCTGTTGAACTTGACCAAGTTCACAAGCACCAGGAGGAATTCTGAGGATAGGCCGATGTCCATCCACTGCAGGACAAACCCAGCTGAGGAGGAAGAGGAGGAGGGCGATGTACTGCCTACTCACCTCCTCCCCGGGAAAACACCGGGTCCCTTCTGCTGCCGTCAGCCATGTCACCAGCCCCACGCAACAGCAGACCATGTGCAGGCCGACGGAGGCTCGGCTGGAGCCCCAGCAGGTCAGCTCAGCTCAGACTCTGAAATTTACCAGCCCCCAGGAAGCACTGAGGGGGTCCCGGCTGAGGGGCAGCAGCAGGCTTTGTGCGTTGGATGCTCAGAGCCTGGGCCCCCAAGGCTGGGCTGTGTAAGCATCACTGGGCACGTTTCTAGGAGGCAGATTCCTGGCCCTCTAACCTCTCCCTGAGACTCTCTCAACAGGGACAAAAGCCACGCTTGGCCGTTGGCCAAATCACCTTAGAAAACCTGAGCATGGCCACCAGTCGGCACCTGTCCTGGAGACAGATGAAGCCCATCTCTGGGCCCCAGTCAGACTGACTTCCTCCTCTTTCCTCTTCTCCTCACAGCGGTGACATGAAACCTCAAGACCCACAGAAAGTCACCCCATCAGGACAACAGAGAGGAAGGTCAGCCAAGGGGAGGGCTAGGAGGTCAGGTCCAGGGCACAGAGAGACCCAAGAAGAAGACATGACGAGGCAGCCCCAGCCCCCAGAAACCTCAGGGTACCCTGGATAAAATACAGGCTGACGCCTGGGTCAGCAGCACACTCCCCCTACAACAGAACTCGGACCACCTCCTGCCCACCTAGTAGGCCTCACTCCCCAGGGACTCTGAGCCAGCAGGTCTGGAGAGAAGCCCAGGACCGTCCATCTCTAACAAGCTCCCCAGGAGACCATTGGCTGCTCCAGGCTGCACCCTGGCAAGCAGAATCTCGTGGTGCCGCGCCCTCTGCAGGCCATCCCTGTAAACTGCAGCACCCCCTCTGCACCTCAGCAGCCTTCTGACATCCGGGGTTCAACAGGATCCCCCAGGCCAGAGAAACCCTACAGCCACTGTGGCACCCACCCAGTTCTTCTTCCAAGTAGGTGATGTGTCTCCCATTGTCCGTGAGGGCCTTGAACACTTCCAGTCTCTCGTGGAGATCTTCATTAGAGGGGTAATCCTTTATGACCTTGAAGAAGAGGGCCCTGAGAACACCCAACCGGTCCCCCTGAAGATAGAAGCACACGCTCAGCAGTCCTGCCAGGACCCCCGCCAGTGGGATTTCCCACACAGCCATACACAGTCCAAGTACAGGGGGCTCTACAACTCCCGACCCTGGGACCCTTTCTATCCTTCCCACAGGCACTGGCTGTAAACGACAAACTGGGCACGTCGGAGCGGCTCCAGATAAGGTGTGTGCGTGTGCACGTGCGTGTGCACTCGTGTGCACAGCACCTACTGTGTAGGAGCTCTGGGTACGGCAGTGAACACACAGCAGGGGATAATGCAGTTCCAGCCCTCCTGGGGCTCGTGGCCAAGAAGAGACACGCTTGTGCCCGCACGTGACAAAAATGGTCTGACTACTCTGCGAGGCGACAGGCCTCTCCACACAGCAGGGGTGTGGAGGGCTGGAGAAAATACACAAGACGGAAGGGAGCCTTCCAGGAAGAAATGCAGAGGCGGCCTGCGGTTCTAGGAAAGGCTCAGAGCAGCATGGCCACAGCCTGGAGCACAGTGAGCCATGGACAGAGGCCCAGGCCCAGGCCAGGGGCATGAGGGCATCAGGAGGCCACCCGTCTCTCATGGTGGGCACATCCCCGTCATTTTGCATGAACAGCTTCATCAACATCCCAAAACATTCCAGAGAAGGCAGGAAAAACAGCCATCCCCATTCTGAGGGAGAGGAGGTAGAGGCCCAGGGACTTGCCCGGGGTCCCCTGGGTTCAAGAGGCTGGGGTGCCCACTCAGGCAGTCGAGCTGCAGAGACCTGGTGCCAGATGCCCTCCCCAAAGACCAGAGTCCACACGTGGCACAGCGGGAGCAGTCCGTGGCCACCCGTCACCCCGCGCCCCCCCCCAGGCCAGCCCCACCTGCACACAGACCCACTGCCCCTTACCTGCCCCTGCACGATGGCCTTCAGCAGAGCCAGCACCGCATGCCGGGCCTCTGGGGGCCGCTCCGGGTGCAGCAGGTCCGCCACGGCCTTCCACAGCGCCTCCACGGCATGCTGCCGCCAGCAAGGAGGGACAACAGTTAGGGGGTGCTGGCCCCCTCCACTCAAGGCTCAGTACCATGAGCAAAGGACAGAGAACAGTTTTTCTGACTTAGAACTCACTCCCCTAAAGCCCACACATCGTGCACCTGTCACAGTGCACGTGACCCGGAGCCTGCCGAGGGGAACGGCTGCAAGCTACTTCAAACCTGCGCGGGTCCTGGCCACAGCCTGGGTGGCAGGGGTTGAGTGGGGAGAGGAGAGCAGCAGGCCAGGGGAGCTGTCCTGGTGCCCCCAGGGATCGGCCAGGAGTCCCCCTTTAGAGTGTGCTCCAACTCCAGTGAAGAAAGCCACTGAAAGAGTCTCAGAACCAGGCGGGCCTGGATCTGCAGCCTGACCCAGAAATCCCATTCCCCTGGCCTCTCTGTACCACATGCCTGCCAAGCCTGTGCTGCCGAGAACGCTGTGGGCTTCTGGAATCTGCCTCCCAGAGTACCTGGGTCCTGTTCCCTGCAGCTACCCAGAATAAATCTCTCTTGTCACCTTCTCTGCCCCATATTTACCGTCCCGTGCTCCCTTCAATCAGAGTTTTCAGACCACTCAAACTTTCCTGGACTTAATTCTCTTAGGAGGGGACTAAAACATCCTTTGGATGTTGTCCAACCCACATCCTGACCGTTTCAGCATACTATGGAACTTTCACCTCCTTTATCCTACACACAACACTCCTAGTGACAAAGCCTACGCCACAAGACACAGATCCCGACCCGGGGGACTCTGTCAGCCTCTCAGGGTTATCTGTCTATTCAGTCACAGCCCCCGCCCCAAATACCTATGCAGCCAACTTTATGGACGCAGAAACCTATGTTCACGTTTATCCTCAGTAACGTATGGCCTGCATGTTTCAGATGACCTGTGGATGTCATGATTGCTCTCCCCTCCCCCTTAGCAAATCCGAATCGGCTTGGTCCACAACTCCTCCCAAGTTGCCCATATAATCTCCGGGCCAAGCTAGAGCAGAGCCCTCATGACAACTTCCCAGTCTGTCCTCGGGATGCCCGAAGAGAGCCTGCAAACATCTGCCCGAAATAAATAGGCTTATGTCTGTGAGGTTGCTCAATGCCACCAACTAGACACCTCTCCCAAAAAGACACCGGAAATGGCATGCCTTGAGTCACGCGGTTTCCTGATATTCCCTTACCTTTCTTGGGATACGAAAAACCAAGTAAGCATGCGTTTATGCAAGTCACTATTAAAAAGCCTTTCTCGGAACTGCCGGAAAAACCTTAATGCCTTTGCTCCCCCCTCCACGTGTGAGTGACCCCTAAGGGTTATGCTCAGAGCATTTCCAGAAGCTCCCCTAAAAGGGTGCGTAAGTTAGCATTAGTAGTCAGCGTTCAACCCTGCTCCTAGAAAGAGCCAAATCAGACTTCTCAACAGCAGCCAACTGAGGCAGACTTACCTCTTCAAATTTCTTCGTTTTTGCAACTTCACAGATCTGCCCTATCACCCGGATGCGATTGTTGATACCACATTCAACACTCAGTTCCTGGCAAGAGAGGAAAGAAGCAAAGGGGCCAGCACTCAGGCAACGGTTCTCCTTAACCGCCAGTCATCACAGACCACCCCGAGAATTCCCAGACTGGAGACCTGGCCCGGCTCATTCTGAAATCGGGGACCACGAGAGTTTACGACTCTGTCTCAGGGGGTGAGAACAGACTACTTCTCTTTTTCATGACATTTTGTTTTGTTGAAATAAAATGCACATACCAAAATTAGCTGTTTGAACAATTTAAAACTATACAGTTTGGCTTTTAGTATATTCACGAGGCTTGCAACCACCTCCACTGACTCCCGAATATATTCATCCCCTAAAAGGACAACTTCACACCCGTTAGCAGTCACCCCCCATCCCCTCAGGCCCCGACAAATGCTGATCGACTTTCTGTCTCTAGGGATTCACCTATTCTGGACATTTCATAGAAATGGAATCACACATTATGTGGGGGCCTTTGTGTCTGGCTTCTTCCACTTAACATGTTTTCAGTGTTCATCCACATTACGGTATGTGTCAATACTGCATGCCTAGGGCGCCTGGCTGGCTCAGTTGTTAAGCATCTGCCTTCGGCTCAGGTCATGATCCCAGGGTCCTGGGATCGAGTCCCGCATCGGGCTCCCTGCTCCTTGGGAGCCTGCTTCTCCCTCTGCTTCTCTCTCCCTCTGTCTCTCATGAAAAAAAAACTGTTTAAAAACAAAAACATTCTTTCTAAAAAAAAAATTCTGCATGCCTTTTTTTGCCAAGTAATACTCCATTGTACGAATGTCATCACATTTTGTTTATCTGTTCACCAGCTAACGAATATTTTGGTTGTTTCTGAATGGGAAACCTCAGGAGTGCAGAAACTCAGCATTTATAAAACACGGTGCCAGGGGGCGCCTAGGTGGCTCAGTTGGTTAAGCGTCTGCCTTCAGCTCACGTCGTGATCCCAGGTCCTGAGATCGAGCCCAGCATCGGGCTCCCTGCTCTGCAGGAAGCCTGCTTCTCCCTCTCCTACTCCCCTTGCTTGTGTTCCCTCTCTCGCTGTGTCTCTCTCTGTCAAATAAATGAATAAAATCTTTAAAAACAAAACAGGGTGCCTGGGTGGCTCAGTTGGTTAAGCGACTGCCTTCGGCTCAGGTCATGATCCTGGAGTCCCGGGATCGAGTCCCGCATCAGGCTCCCTGCTCAGCAGGGAGTCTGCTTCTCCCTCTGACCCTCTTCCCTCTCGTGCTCTCTATCTCTCATTCTCTCTCTCTCAAATAAAATAAAATCTTTAAAAAAAATAAAAACAAAACAAAAAAACATGGTGCCAGGACGTAGTAGGGGGACTCAAATACACACCAGAAAACAAAGACCCGCTTGTTCCAGAAACTCACAAATTACCAGGTTAACACCTGGCTATAACCCTAATCACCTGTGGAAACCAAGCACGGCGTTTCAGCCATGGCTAGTAAAGTAGGTTCTCCTGCATCGACATCCTAGTACTACCTCAAGTGTGCTAGACGCAGTCCCCAAGGTCCTGACTTCCTGCACCTCGGAAGGAAAGATGTACAGGCTTCCACAGCACTGGGGACAGCAGTCCCACCTCCCACAGAACCTGGTGACAGACGGAACCCAGCCTGCCCTGCACCTCCTAACAGCCTAGCAGGGCAGGCAGGGCAGCTCACTCACTCTCAGGATGTCCGCCGTGATGATAAACTCCGTCTGTTTGCCCTCTGCAGACCTGGGGTTTGGCCTCGGGGTTCCCAGTCCCAAGAGAATCCTGAACTTCTCCTTCAAGCCTGAATCTTTGCTTGTTGGCTTGGCCATGATGGGCAGGGACACAGCAGAGGCCGCTTCTGCGCCAAGAAAACAGGCGGAGAGCTCAGGACAGCTCCCCCGCACCTGCCCCGCTGCCGACCTCCGGCCGCCCGCCCGGGAAGCCTAGGCCTCGCGTGGGCACGACCCTGCCACAGCTCCCGGGAGGAACTCAAGCACAGCCTGGCGGTCCCGGCCAGCAGCGGGCACCGGGTGAGGGAGGGGAACCGACGCTTGCCCTCCCTCTCCTCCCCGACGTGGGGGAGGCCTGTCCCGGACTCCGGAAGCTGGGGGCCCCTCGCACCCGCTCCGTCTTAAAATCCAGGACTGCTCGAGCGGCTCCAGGCCGAAGGCCGGGGACGTGACACTGCGGGGTCCGCCTCCGCCGCCTCTGCGCCGAACAGTACCTCCCCTCTCCCCGGCGCGGCCGGGCCACACGGTGGACCGGGGCGGCGTCGACGGTCGGGGGCCCGCGAGCCACTCACCCCATGCCGCGCCAGCCGCGCGGCCGGGCCGTCCCCGCACGAAAAAGGGGAACGCAACCCCGGCCCCCCAACCCCCGAGGCGCCGCCGGAAGCTTGGTCAGCACTTCCGGCAGCGGACAGGGCCCGAGCGCCGCCGCCGAGCTTGCTGGGAGTGGTAGTTCCCGGCCGCTCTCGGCGGAAAGTTGAGTCACATGACGGGGCCGCGGGGGCCGCCGGGATGTGTAGTGCGCAGGACTCTGGCATGAGCATGGCGAGCGTGAGGATGGTGACCCGAAGCCGGAGCCAGGGCCCGGGAGCCGGGCCGCGGGGGGGTGGGGAGGAGGCCGCGCCGTTCCGGAGGGGAGAGGCGGCTGCAGGTAGCCCGGCGCCCGGACCGGGGCATGGAGAGAGAGAGGAGGGAAGAAGCCTGCAAGGCGCCGGGGGCAGGGATTCCGAGTCGCCCCCACGTGGGGCTCTCCCACCCTGCTCCCTGTTCCCAGGACGCAGGGGCAGGGGTCCATAGGGACTGAGTTCCGGGCGCTCGCACCTCCCCCACCCTCGTCCTGAACAAGAAAGTTCTCCGCGTCCCGGTAGCCTGTCCGGGGATACTCCGCTTGGGCCAGGCTTTCTGTGGGCACACCAGCCTTGTCCTCCTGGCTGCTTCTCTCTCAGAGAGACCAGGTGCCGAGGACACGCCCAGCCAGAAGTCCTCTTCCCCTGCTGGAGGGTGCCTCTGAGAGGAAACGGGAAAGGGCGTTGTCTTCGTTCTGTTTATTCTGCAGGCGTTAAGGACCTAGTGTGTACAGGACTGGCGGAGGGGGGAGGTGAGGGAGACCCACAGGGCCCCTGCAACAGGGCAGCCAGAGAGGGATTCTCCTAGGCACCCAGCGAACGTAGGGGTAGTCCAGACAAGGAGATCCACTATGACAGAGCCATGGCAGGAGAAAATGGGGGCAAGGGGAGTAAGTAGGTAACAATACCAGCTAGGTAGGCAGGACCCTTGATGCTGGGATGGAGTTTGAAGTTTGCCATGAGTATAAGAAAAAGCAAAGAGCAGTTTTAAACAGAAATGACACAGTCTGATTTAGGCCTTAGGAATGTCTCTCTGGGCCCATGTGGAAATGAGATTGGAGGGGCACCATGGTAGAGGCTGTGGGTAGAGTTGTCCTGTAATAACGCAAACTTGGTCAGGAGGGCAGTGGCATGGGGAAAGCTGACCTGCCCCCAGAGCACATGCTGCAGAGGCCAGAGCAGCCCCAGCTGCGGTAGATGATGGATGGTCGTTGAATGAATGATGATGGGTGGTAGCAGGCGGGACAACACCCACGCCCACCCTCACCTGTGGCCCCTGCTGAATGGCACTTCTTTGCAGAAGGAAAGAAAAGGCACAGCCCCACAAAGCGTCAGCGGAAGACACAGAAACTGAGTGTCACCTACGAAGCCTCAGATCATGAGAAAGGAGAAGGCGCCAAACCCCCAGAGGCACCAGGCTGGGAGCCCCGGGACTGGCAGCAGCAGCTGGTGAACATCCGTACCATGAGGAGTGGGAAGGACGCGCCTGTGGACCAGCTGGGGGCTGAGCACTGCTATGACCCCAGTGCACCCCCAAAGGTAGGCACCCCATCTGCCTGGTGACTGCCTTCTGGACAAGAAACTTCCTTCCTCTGTCAGGGCACAGCCTGACCCTGGCAGCTCTTGACTGGCACCCTCACCGGCAGGCGGCACCTCGAGGGGACAGCACCTGGGTCTCAGAGCACAGGGCAGTATCACCTGCTTCACGGTGGCCACTCGGCGGGTCAGGACTACCTGTGGCTTGGGGCTTCATGCTCTGTCTTCCACCAGCACAGTCCTGACCTACCAGGGGAGTTCGTAATATTTATTGAGAGAGAAAAAGTTCCTTACACCTCACTGCTTTGGAGCCTGGTTCTTAGACCAGCTTGATTCTAATCCCAACTCCACTACCAGTAACCTGGGTGCACGAACTTCTCGGGGCTTCCGTTTGCTTGTGTGTGAGATGGGCAGGATAATCCACAAGGCAACAGCAATCACATTAGCAGGCATTGGCTGTCGAGCACCAGGTGTGATTGTAAGTGTTGTGATCGTTTATTTAAGCCTTCCATTAATCTTTGTGAGGCAGGCACTGTTATTGTCCCCATGTTACATAGGTGAAAACAAAAGAGGCCCAGGCCGGACCCCTCACACAGTCCGTTGGCCAGAGTGGGTGGGAGGCTGATGTCCCACACGTTGGCCAGGGTAACAGATGGAGGTGGTAAAGGGTTTGGCGGGGGCCCGGCCCACAGTGAGCACCCAGGACCTGCCACTACCCTGGTCCCTGTCACCGTGCAAACAGGTGCGGAGGTACCAGGTGCTGCTGTCACTGATGCTCTCCAGCCAAACCAAAGACCAGGTAACAGCAGGTGCCATGCAGCGGCTGCGCGCTCGGGGCCTGACAGTGGACAGCATCCTGCAGACAGATGACAGCACGCTGGGCACGCTCATCTACCCCGTAGGCTTCTGGAGGGTGAGCCCACAGGCCTGGGAAAGACATCAGGAGGCCAAGGAGAGGCTGTGGGGGTACAGGAGGCTGGGTGGGGCATCTGAGGCCAAAGGCACCTGGATGTGAGTTCGCAGTAGAGCCCCCTGCCCATCTGACCAGCAAATGGGGCCAGGGCTATGGGCCCTCCCTCCTTGGCCTTTCCTGTTTGCAGCCCACCCCTTCCTTCCTCCACCTCCCCACCCAGCTGACTGGCGCTTCCCTTCCTCCCTGAGGCTGCCCACCCGCCTTTCCCTTTGTTTACTCCAAGCCTCCCTGGAGTGCGTCACCCCCTTCCCTCTGGAGCCCCAACAGGCCCTAGAGCACTGGGTGGCGAGTGGGCGGCTCTGTTGAAGGCAGCCGGGCGGGTGGGGCTGCTTCCCCTTGGCATTGGCGTGGGCTGCAGTTTGTCAAATGGGTTTTAAATAGTCCTCTCTACTCAGGCACAGAATGGGAGCCACCCAGCTGGCCTGGCGGCTGGCGGGGGAGCCCCAGACTCCAGTCTTCCTTCCTGAAGGTCCAGGTGCTGCTGAGCCCAGTTCCTGGCATGGCTGGCCCTGCCTAACTTACCTGGCCTCTGGGGGAGGGGACCTGAGCTAGACCCCACACACGTCACTGGTCCAGGCCTGCATTGGGCCTCCCTCAGTCTCCCTGCTGCCCGTGGCTCATTCCCACCACTTGGGGGGACAGGGACAAACAGGTGCCTCTGAGTGTGTCTAGGGCAGGTGATAGGCAGCTCTGGACACCTGTGGGTCTCCCTCAGGACTCATCCTCCCAAGTAGGGCTACACCCTCCACCTCCAGGGCTGACCACCCCCCTCCGTCTTTCAGAGCAAGGTCAAGTACATCAAGCAGACCAGTGCCATCCTGCAGCAGCGCTATGGCGGGGACATCCCAGCTTCTGTGGCAGAACTGGTGGCACTGCCGGGCGTTGGGCCCAAGATGGCACACTTGGCCATGGCAGTGGCCTGGGGCACTGTGTCTGGCATCGGTGAGTGGCATACACAGGGAGGGCAGGGCTGGCCACGTCCTGTAGTCTGTGACCCCAGCTCAAGTCCCCTCACCCACAATTTAGCCCAAAGTGTCAGAAAGATGTTTCCCACATTGAGCTAGGCCTGCCCCACCTACAGGTGGGTACTAATGGAAGGAGTTCTAGTTTGCTGAACACCTACCCTGCACTGGGCTCTGTGAGAGGCCCTGGGGATGGATTCAAGGTCTGTGCTAGGCACGAAGAAAGAGGTTGAGCACATAACTCCTTACCTGTGAGGTAGAAACACTCCTGGGGGGCGTGCATGGCACTGTCAGAGCTGGCCCGGTCTGGGGCATCTGGGGAGACCTCCTAGAAGGAGGTGATAACTCAGCCAAGAGCTGAAGAGTGAGGGGGGCTGACCAGGCTGGGAGGAGAAAGTGCCATCCGGGCAGAAGGAACAACACCGGCATCAGGTGGGGGAGGGGGCCAGTAGAGGAAGGCTCAAGAATGGGCCCATGGGGGAGGCACGGTAAAGGCAGGGGGATGCCAGGGGAGGAGGCGCTGGGGAGAGCCCCTCCTGGAATCCATTTCCTGACATTGGTGGTGTCCGTGAAGTAAGACCCTGGGTTAGGCTGCAGCTGCTTCTTCAGGTCTTTGCCCAGACAGTTGGGGCTTCTGAGAAACCCCAGAGACTGGGGCCCGACCCACAGCCTCTCTGTATGCCCCTACCCTGGTGCTCCTCCGGAACTTCTGCAGGGGGCGGGGAGCGGGGCAGAAATCTCCCTAGCGCTTCCCAGCTCCCAAAGCCTGCTCCCTGGGGTGGGGACCCTTCTTAGCACTGCGCTTGGGCTGAAGGGCCGCTAGGCTAGAGCCCAGCAGCCCCAGAGACCGGCGATGGGCCAGGCAGGGGCTAGGGCCGCAGCCCCTGGTCCTGCAGCGGACAGGCTCTCAGCAGATGCTTGAGCTTATCTGGGCTGCTGTCTTTGCTGCCCGAGTCCCGAGTCACAGGAGGGGTCTGGCACATCTGTGGCGGATGGGCCCACAGCGCAGGGAGCAGGCCTTTCGGAGCAGGAGACATGCTAGGAGGGAGAGTCGGAATGTCACCCTTTCTGGATGTCTGTGGGCCCTGCCTCTCAGGGGCTTCGCCGGGAAGCAGCCTCTCAATTAGAAAGCCAGAGCTGTGGGCTACAGCAGCCAATCCCAGCTCTGCCGTCCCAGCTGGGCGACCACGAGGCAATACGCTCAGCCACTTGGAGCTTTGGCCACCAAGCTGGGAAAGCATGCAGAGGACCTGCCTGCAGGAGGCTCGCATGGTGTGCCGTGGCCCTAGGCTCGGCCTCTGGGGGAGGACCAAGGGTTTGGTCACCTCTGGGGGACAGGCAGTATGATCATTTCTGTGGTACAGGAGAGGAAGCGGAGCCGTGGTGACCCACTAGCATGACCCCTGCACCTGCATGTGCTCCCTGTGCCCATAGGGTGCCCTCCATCAGCATCTGGGGAGGGCCTGAGGCTTTTTCCAGACCATTAGTAGCAGGGGAAGGGAACAGGTGTAGGGCTCAGGTTCTCTTTTGCAAAGCCGAGAGGAGGCAGGAGCTACAGCTTGCAAGGAGAGCAGGTGCCCAGGCCGAGCCTTGGGGTGGCCGGCCCAGGGGAGCCAGGACCGCGGCCCATGGAGAGGACAGCTGCAGCTGGCCTGGCCCCACGCCCTGCTCTGTCCCTGGCCATGCCGTGGTAGGTGCGGGCACTGGGGGCCGTGACCTCCCACTAGCCTGCTGGGCCCAGCCGTGAGTACCCAGCCTGGCACTCACAGCCAGTTCCTGGGCCAGGAGACACCGCTGCCTGCACCCCAGCTAGCAGGCCCTGCCCTCTCGCTCAAGCCGCTGACCTGCCCTCCGTGGAAGCCCCGGGGATGGGAGCAGGGGAGACTCAGGCTCCAGGCTTGGGGCTGTGGGCAGGGCCTGGGTCCAGCCAGCACGCCCTGTGATGAGCCGGTCCTGTCTCCCACAGCGGTGGACACGCACGTGCACAGAATCGCCAACAGACTCGGGTGGACCAAGACAGCGACCAAGTCCCCGGAGAAGACTCGTGCGGCGCTGGAAGCCTGGCTGCCCCGGTGCGGCAGGGTGGGGGCTGGGGGGGGCTGCCCTCGGTCTCCCTCCCCTGCTGACCTCTCACCTTCACAGGGAGCTGTGGAGTGAGATCAACGGACTGTTGGTGGGCTTCGGCCAGCAGACGTGTCTGCCCGTCCACCCGCAATGCCAGGCCTGCCTCAACCGAAGCCTGTGCCCGGCCGCACGCAGCCTCTGCGGGCCGTGAAGCCTCGGCCCGGCCACCGTGCGTTGGCCTACACATGCCTTTGCTGGGGAGCCACGGCCCGTTTATAATAAAGCTTGGGAGTTGTTTGCAGTGAGTGTCTGGCGACGTCTTACCCCTGGGGCGTGGGGGCAAGCCGGGAAGCACGTGCGTGAGCTGTGTGTCTGAAGGGGCTACCTGGGAGGCTGAGATGGGGACGTGAAAATCTCGGCTGTGGACTGGGCGGGGGTGGGGGGTGACGGGTGTGCAGGAGCCTGGGACAGAAGAGATGGATGGTGGGAAGCCCGCTGGAGACCCGGGCCTCCTCCCACCTGGACAGCTGGCTGGGGATGCAGATCTACACCCGTCCCCTGAACTTTGGCACCCTGAGAGCTCTCTGCCAGGAGGCCCCACCCCATGTTTACAGAGCCACCTGGCCTGCAGAGTAACACCAGTAGGCCCAGGCCGGGCGCCACAGGACATAGACCTGACCCATGTGTACCTGCTGAAGTGGGGGGGGGCGCTGTGTGAGGGCAGGGGCATCAAGGATCCAGAAGGCATGGAGGGCAGGGGAAGGGAGAAGCTAGCGAGGGCCCCAGGGTGTGCCAATGAAGGAGGGAGCAGGGCTCCAAGTTTTGGGGGTCTCCAGGGAGCTGGGGAGGGGGAGACAGCAGAAGCGGAGAGGGGTCAGGCTTGACTGCCGGGTGGATGGAGTGGGAGAGGCTTGGGAATGGGCCTCTGCTTCTAGCAGCTGAGAGTGGGGCTCCCTAGCTGCTGCCTTCCTGCCCAGACCACAGCCCCCCACCCACAAGTGAGGTCTCAGGAAGGACAGGCGGCCACGGGTCTGAGGAAGGCCTGTTTATTAGGAGAGCGCGCATGCGCTATGGCTTACGGGGCAGACAGCAATGTCAGTTGGGGCCGGAGCCAGCAGGAAAGGGAGAGTGGGTGGGGTCTCCTGGGGGCAGGCAGGCTCTCGCACAGCCACGCTCCCCCTGCCTCGCGGCTGTGGCGCAGGGACAAGAGGCCTGTCCAGAGACCACCCTCTTCAGGGACACAGGGCCTCCATCCTTGGGCCCCTGGAGCCCAGGCCCCGTGCCCCAGACCACAGCTGAGCAGGGACATGGGGGCCTCGCCTGGTGACCTCCGCCCCCAGCAGGGAGGGGGCGGAGGGGCAGCTCCTACAGCCACAGCTGGCCTCCCCAGCGTCACACTGAAGCCCCCACAACCACAGTCTGGCCCCCCTACGTTTTCCTCTGTCCCTGGAAGTGCCCAGGGGCGCCCACTCGGGATGGCTGCTGCTGAGGGGTGGGGAGGAAATGGTTTGCAGAGAAAGGTTTGTTTTATTGCAATTACTTAGAGAGGCGTCCTGCGGGGGCAGGGGCGGGGGCGGGACTCGTATTAAGTGGAAACATGTGTGGAACTGGAGCTCTCTCTCTTTTTTTGTTTTTGGAAGAAAAGCAAAAACACAAATTCCTTTAAGTCAGCAGGCCCGGGCAGAGCAGCAAAAGGGCCGGGCCCACGGTCACCACTGCCTCTCTCTGTCCCTCTCTTCTATCTCGGGGGGGCCCCCTCTCCCCTATCCAGCACCCAGCAGGTAGGGGGGCAGGACGGGGCTCACTGGGGCGCACATTGGTTCCTGGGTGGTGGTGGGACCAGCACGGCTTCTGGGGGTGAGGAGGCACCCCCTCCAGTCCACTGAGGCTTGGGGAACTCTGGGCTGGGCCTGTGGGGCGAGGCCTGCGGGCCGTGCAAACAGGTAGGGAGGGGCTCAGAAGTTGCTGAAGATCTCGCGTTTCCGGTTCCAGTCCATCTGTGGTGCCCGCTTATTGACCCGGGTGGCTCTCGCCTTCTCCTTGGCTTCGGCCGCCGTGGGGCTCAGGTGGAGGCCGCTCTCCTGAAAGGGGTCCCGCTTCCAGGTGCTGCTGTCCTGGATGGGGGGGGCAGGCAGAGCAGGCAGGTGGCCAGAGTGAGTCCCGGACCCAAGCCCCTCGTCGGGTGACCCCTCCCGGGCAGCTCATATCCCCACAGGCCTCCTGGTGGGGCTGGGGCAGCGGGCCCCAGAGGGCATCCTAGAGGTGGTGACCCCACTGCCCAGGCTGTACAGAGGCCCACCCCCAAAGCCTCTGACCCCCCATGTGTGAGCACAGCAGTGGGGTGGGCAGGCACTTGCTACCTCAGTGTCCTTGTCTAAGCCAGGCAGATCACTTCGCGACGAGCACGCTGAGCCACCGTTGACCTGGGAAACCAAGGGCAAGTTGTGGCTTCAGGGACCCTGCCCGGGAGCCACGGGCGCACACGCAGACGTGTGCCCACACGCACATCAGAGCTGCATCTAGTCTTCCATTTGGCAGGAGGCTCCAAGCCTCTACTGTACTCCAGGCCCAGCCTGGGCAGGACGCCGGACAACCGGCAGCAAGTGGGCAGGTGCTGTGGAGGGCTGGGGAGCCAGCCCTGGCCGGCTCACAACAGGAATCAGCCACACGAGCATCCCCTGGGGTGAAGCCAGGGCCAGCTTCCCAAGGAGTGACGGCGGAGTGAGACTCCAGATCGCCAGCCAGCACTGGGCAGAGGCACCCGCAAGGCCAACAGCCGCATGGGGCTGGGGTGTGGCTGACCCAGGACAGGACCCACAGGGAGCATGAGAGCTAGAAGTGGTTGGGCCAGATTGGGTCTCACGGTCACACCAACACAAGGAGATCTTGAGGCCAGGCCTGGGGATCCCTAGAGGTGCCCCTATGGTCTCCTGGGCCCACCCGGTCCATTCCCACCCTCTTACCTGGGCAGGGCTGGTCCCATTGGTGACTGGTGATGGCAGTGGGCCTGTGGGAACAGGATGTCAGTGGCTGCCCAGCACCCTATGCTCCACCCCATCCCCAGGCCCCCAGGCAGCAGCCCACCTTCCACATGCTCCTCAGTAGGTGTGACCCGTAGCCGCTTGAAGTACTCGTCCGTCTCAGGGTCCACCACCAGCAGCCGGGCCTCATCCTCCCTCGCCTTGATGCTGGCAACCACCTCTGCGTGGCGCAGCCCCTCGACATTCTGCCCGTTCACCTGCCACCAGCAGCATGGGGTCAGCACTGCCGGAAGTCAGGCCCCTGCGGGCCCCCTGAGCCACCCAGCCAGGTGTGGCATCAAATATTCATCAATGTTGTCACCAGCCATGGCAGCAAGAGGAATGCCAGCTCAAGTTCCCAGCATCTCTCCTCTTCCCAGCAAGGACCTCCCTGCCCAGACACACACTGGGGGTAGGGGGGACACGGGCCCAGACAACACTGGGGGTGGGGGGGACACGGGCCCAGATACACACTCAGGGGGGTACGTGGGCCCAGACATACACTCGGGGTGGGGGGGACATGGACCCAGACACACTTGCGGGGGACATGGGCCCACACACTTGGGGGGACACAGGCCTAGACACACACGGGGGGGAACATGGGCCCAGACACACACTCAGGTTGGGGGCAGAGGCCCAGACACACACTTGAGGGACACCCAGCACCCCAAAGCCTCCATGACAGGTACCTCGATGAGTCTGTCCTGGGCGCGGAGGCCAGAGTGAGCAGCAGGTGAGCCTGGGTCCACGGAGCGGATATACTGTCCCGGCCGGGACTTGTCACTGTGCAGGTTGAACCCGTAGCCTTGGGGACCCTTTCGGAGGTGGCACAGCCGAGGGCGTAGCTCCCTCAGGGGCCCACCAACATCCTACAGGCACATGAGACCAGGCTCAGCGCTGATCTCCCACCATCATCCCCCACCAAGGCCGCTGACCCAGCCCGCCAGGCCTCCGGCCCCCGGAATGCAGCTGCAGTGGAGGTGGGCTAGAGGAACCCGAACCCCACGCTCAACATCACGCCCCGCCTGGCAGCCCCAGGTCTCAGGACAAACCCTCTGTACCCATGCCTGGGGGCCCTGGTAGGGTGCCTGTGACTGAGCTCCAGCAGCAGGATCTTGAGCAAAGCCTCAGTTTCCAAACCCAAAACAACTTCAAATGGGACCAGGGGCTTTACAGGGGTGTTAACAGGATCTGCTCAAGGGCAGCGCTGAGCCCAGGCCAGGGACCTAGGAGCAGCCAGGTAAGACAGCTGTCCTGGACTGCTATCCCTAGGGGGGTGCGCTGCCAGGAACCCCCTCCCCCCTCCCTCCCCGAGCGAGAGGCTGACGTTTGTTTTTTCTCCCCTTCTCCCTGTGGCGTCCATAGGGCTGGTGGCAGAGTGATGTGTTTGCTTTTACATTCCAGAGCTAGCTGGAGCCACCCCCACCCCCGTAGGGCCCAGGGACAGGGCGCAGGGGCCAAGCCGAAGCGAGTGAGAAGGCCAAGGGTGGACCTGCCCTCCCACCCTCCCCGCGAGAACACAGAAGGCCCACGATGCCCCGAGCGCACCCCCCGCCCCCCGCATCGACAACCCAGGGCCTCGCCTCGCTTTACCTCGGGCATCCTGCAGTAGGGCTGTGGGTTAGGGGGCAGTGAGGGCAAGGGCCAGGCCCCAGGACGCCCCCCCACCCAGCCACGGCCTGGGGCCGCGACCACAGTGTAGGTGGCTAGCGGCTGAGGGTGCTCAATTAAACATGGCGGGTGGCCGGAGTGCCTGGGCAGGCAGCCGCTCAGGTTTCCGGGGCCGCTCAGGACTCGAGTGCGCGTGCGGGTGAGCAGGTGCCGGGTGGGGGGGTGCTCCCTGGGCCCCTCCCTGACCCTCCACCTACCCTTACCCCCAGGGAAGCTCTCCAGGCCTCAGGCACCTACCCCCCCTGCAGCTCAGGCCACCCCCCTGACCACTCCCAGCCTCCAGGTCTCTGAGCTCATTCCTCAGATCTGACCGTGAGTACCCTGGCCTGCCAGTTGGCCTGGCTGTGGACCCAAGAGCATCTTTTCTCACAGCGCGGGTGCCCTGCCCTGGCTCCGGGCCTCCCCCTTGTCCAGAACACCCTCTTCCTGCCCAGCCTGCACCCCTCCTCTGGGACCCCTTTCCGGACCCCCAAAGCCCGCCCAGACATGCCCTCGGGATCCCCACTGCAGGCCACCACCTCGCCCCATAACCCCAGGAACTCAAGGGACAGGGCAGCTGCTCCTTGACCCCCCCAGGGGTTCGGCTGGGCAACATAAGCTGAACTGACGGGTGTGAGACCCCCGAGTGCTCCAGGGCGCCCCCGGACAGACTCAGCCCCTCTGCCAGACACACCTGGAGGCACAGGCTTTGAATGCCCCCACACCACAGAGGTGCCTCTCAGATCCAGGCGGCCAGAGCCCAGACCCCAAGGCTGGCAGGCCAGGAGCAGAGCCAGAGTCGGGACCAAGCACACCTGGCAGGTGGACATGGGCCCAGATGTGAGAGGCGCGTGGCCACAGAGACCAGACATGCAAACATACACTCACAACACGCTACACGGTGACACATGCGTTCGAGAGGACAGCCCCCTGGTGCTGAGCCCTGCAGCCTCTTCTCACGCCCTGCACAGTGACCTCCCTGGCAGGTCTCTCAAGGCCCTCAAACAGGAAGCAGGACTGGGGGAGTATCCGGGGCCATGAGGCCAGGCAGAAGTCACATCCGGGTTTGGGACCATCCTGGCCATCCCCCTGCCTCAACCCAGCAAGGCCACCGCTCACCACACCAGCCAAGAGGCTTCTCTGCAAGTCTTGCCTGAATTGCTCTCCTGCCGATCAGCCAGATCAGCCAGCGTCCAAGGAGCCCCACCCCCGGCACCAGACCCTCAGGTTGAGAGGCTGCAATGGGGTGGGGGGGGGGCGGGCAGGCTGCGTGGAGAGGCCCGGAGAAGCAGTGGGTCAGGAGGGGGCGCAAGCAGGCCCAGCGCATTGCTCACATTCCTCGCTCCGGGCCCTGGCTCTGAGCACTTCCTGCCACCTCCCAGCCAGGCCCTCAGGCTCCCACGGGCTCCCAGCCGGGCAGCCCCGAGCTGGACAAGCCCTGGTCTCACAGCGCAGCCCGTGACCAGACAAAGAAGCTGGCATGGGGGTACCCCGGGGGCCAGGCTGTGCCCCCCCCAGATGATGACTCACCAGCCTTGGCAGAGAAAGGCCCCCATTGTTGCTCAGGGTGCAGCCTGCTCGCACCAGGGTCACCAGGGTGTCCCAAATCCCCTCTCCTGACCCTGGGGGACATGGGCTAAGCTGGCTGCTGGGGTCCTCGTTGCCCACCCTGCCCCCACCCAGCCTGACCTGCACAGGTCCCCAGGATGGTCTCTGCGGAGGGGCTCCTGGGGCTGGGGCCGGTGGTGTGCCATCCCCAGAGCGGGCCATGGGAGGCAGGAGAGAAGTGGCAGGCACCGAGCGTCCAGCTGGAGTGGCCTGAAGTCTCCGGCCAGCCCAGGCCACCACCCCATTTATCCACCTCCCACAGCGGCCCCGGCTCCCCAGGGATGGGTGGGGACAGGGGGGCTGAGTCACTTTGGGGAGCAGGGTGGTGTCTGGGTCCCCCTCCCCTGCTCAGGCCCCAGCTAGGCACCCCGTACTGGCTAGGTTTCAGTCCCAAGAAAGGAAGGAAGGAAGCTGCTGGGAGGCCCTGCCCTGCTCCCAGGACCCGGGGCTGGGGAGACAGGGAAGCAAGGGAGGGGTCCCCGGCGCCGGAGCAGAAGACAGTCCTGCTGAGGCTCCCAGAGCCTTCCCGTAGGTATGAGGCCCCCATACCAGGCGGTCACCCCCTGCAGGACTCTCCCTCCCTCGCTCGCCCACGCTCGGACCCCAAGGGCCTCTAGAATGGACAGTGGGGGCCCAGGCTCTGTCCCCACCTCCACGGCCCTGGTACCGCAGGCTGCCCCGTCTGTTTGGGGGCTGTCCCTCTCGTCACTGTCAGGATCAGCTGGACTGCAGCTGCAGCCTCCCCAGCCTGCTCTGGCCGGGGGCTGAGTCACCACTGACTAGGACCCCACAGCACCCCAATGGGAGGGGCCGCCCCATCGGTGTCCTCCCCGCCCCACCTCCCACAGCCCAGCTGGGACAGAGGAAACGGAGCTGAGAGGACAGGAGTGACTCGCGGGGCCCTGGCCCCCAGCTTGGCTCTTACTTCCCACGGGGCCCCCAGGGGCTGCCTTCCTGCACTGGAGCAAACCACATCCATCCCAGCCAGTCGTCCTGCCTGCCGCAGGCAAGCACCACCCTCCCAGCCACCCTGACTGCCAGTCAGTCCTGGGGAGGTCAGCCGAGGCCTGGCTCTTCCATCGGACCCTCTGAGCTCAGCCAGTTAGACACTGGGTCTCTGGCTGGGAGGGAGGGGGTCGCCCTGTCCCCTGGGCCTCCCCTGACCTCCTGGAGTCCCGGTCCCCAGGCCGGCCCCTACCACAGAGCCCCTGCCAGTCAGGCCCCACTTTGTTCCTCTAAAAATACGCCCAGAGGAAGCCCCCTCCAAAGGCTTCCTGCGACTCCCAGAGCCTGAAATAGCAGAGAGGGAAGGTCCCACCCAAGGACAAGGTGCCTCAGCACCCCACCCTCCAGATAAGCCCCGAGGGCGGATTTTTCCACAGGAAGGTGAACTCAGCGTTTGTGTCTAAATCAATGGACAAACGCCTGGGGGGGGGAGGGGCGCTTCCTCCGGGAGGTAAGACGCCTGTGAAGGAGCGGTGCTCAGGGAGCCAGCCCAGCCGGCACATCGTCCCCGGACCTCCCTGAAACCCCACAGCTGACCCGGATGCCCCCAACTCGGGCCCTGACCACCCCCGTGGGGCTCTCCAGCCCAGAGAACAAAAAGCATCCTGAGGGTTCAGACCCAGGCCTGCGCCCAGGCTGGCTTCCCACCTGAAATGCCTGCCTTCCCCCGAGGCCCAGAGATGGCCAGCTCACACATGAGACATGCACACCCAGAAACTTCAGATCTCACACCTCCACTGGCATTAGGCCAGTGTTTTGTTTTGTTTTTTTTAAAGATTTTATTTATTTATTTGGCAGAGAGAGACAGTGAGAGCGGGAACACAAGCAGGGGGAGTGGGAGAAGGAGAAGCAGTCTTCCCGTGGAGCAGGGAGCCTGATGCAGGGCTCGATCCCAGGACCCTGGGATCATGACCTGAGCCGAAGGCAGACACTTAACAACTGAGCCACGGAGGTGCCCCAGGCCAGTTTTTCTCAAAGTGGGATCTGGGGAAACCCCTGGGATTGAATCCTTTAAAGAGATTTAAAAAAAAAGAGAGAGAAGAAAGAAAAAAGGTGCCTGGGTGGCTCAGTCCCTTGAGTGTCTGCTTTCGGCTCAGATCATGATCCTGGGGTCCTGGGACGGAGCCCCATTTGGGGCTCCCTGCTCAGCGGGGACCCTGCTTTTCCCTCTCCCTCTGCCCCTGTTTGTGTTCTCTCTCTCTGTCAAATAAATAAATAAAATCTTTAAAAAAAAAAAAAAAGGCAAAATGGGCTTGAGAAACAGTACCATGGGGCTTCAAGAGCATTGAACAATCGGGGCGCCCGGGGGGTTTTGGCTCAAGGTCATGATCTCATGGGTCATAATCTCACAGGTCGTGAGATCGAGCCCTGCGTTGAGCCTAGAGTCAGGCTCCACACTCCATGGGGCATCTGCTTGGGGATTCTCTCCCTCTGCCCCTCCTGTTACTCTCCCTTTTTTTTTTCTTTAAGATTTTATTTATTTATTTGAGAGAGAGAGAATGAGAGATAGAGAGCACGAGAGGGAAGAGGGGCAGAGGGAGAAGCAGACTCCCTGCTGAGCAGGGAGCCCGATGTGGGACTCGATCCCGGGACTCCAGGATCATGACCTGAGCCGAAGGCAGTCGCTTAACCAACTGAGCCACCCAGGTGCCCGCTCTCCCTTTCTCTCGCTCCCCCTCTCCCTCTCTCAAATAAAGAAACAATAATAAAATTTAAAAAAACGGGGTAGAACAAGCAGGGGCAGGCTCTTCCTCTTGGCCTCCCCCAAGTAGGAACCCCCGCCCAAGTCCTGCCACCCAGAAGTCAGTAGAATAGCAACACACACGCACACGCACGCACACACACGCACGCACGCACACACACACGCACACGCACATATTTATTCCAGCTCTTCTGGCCTGGAGCGGACAAAGGAAGAGAAAAGTACCCCAACCGCGCTAGACCCCAAGCTGAGGACCCAGCTTAAGAGTGTCCCCGGCTGTCCCCAACCATGCACTGCCCACAGAGAAGGACCAGCCCCTACCTCTCAAGGCTTTCCCAGCACAAGCAGACTCCTTAGACAGGCAGACACCTGACATGAACACAGAGGTAGGCACAATCCATCCCAGGACATCCCCGCAGACCCTTCCCAGTTCCCTCAGCCCCTAGGCCGGGCTTTTCAGAGTGACCTTTCCTAGGCCAGGGAGCTCTGATGGGCATCTTGGGGAAGAGTGCTGGAGATGGGGGACCAGGGACCGGGGCCACGCTCCCCTGAGTCCACCTGCCTTAGACCACAGACTGAGAGCAGAAAGAGTGGCCCCAAGTAGCCAAGAGGTTAGTCACCAGGGGCCCCGAGAGGCAGAAGAGATGGAGACGGAGCCTTGTGGAGGTGAGCGGAGGGGGAGACTGCCCGCCATCCAGAAGCAGACCTGGTGGTTCTGGGAGAAGCTGGGGTGGCCCTGGTGTGCAGAGCCTGCCATACCTTCTGGCCAGCCTCAGAGCCCAGGCTGCCGGCACGTGCCCAGTCCAGCTTTGGCTCCCAGGGGTCGTGGGTGGGTGGAAGCCCTCGCTGAGCCATCTCCTCAGTGCAGGTCAGCTGCCGCCGGCGGAGCTCCTCGTCCGTCTCTTTGTCCACCACCAGTAGCCGAGTCTGCCCTTCCACAGCCTTGATTCTCTGCACCACCTGGGCCGGGAAGGTTGTGGGGAGCAGGTCAGCGGTCGGCACTCTGGGCAGCACATGGACAGTGGCACCACCCGGGGCCGGCCCAGGATCGCGGGCAGGCAGCTGGCCTACCAGGGGTGGGTGGCTGGACCGAGAGGCCCGCCGGCTCCGCCTCCCACCCCCAGTGCACCGGCAGCTCCCTCCCTCTTTACCCAGGACTCCTGACACAGGGCTACAGGGTCACTGCAGGGCCTGGCCTTGGCCCCGGGTCTTGTCCAGGAGGGGCCAGGAAGCTGGGTGAGGCAATTTGTCTGGAAGGTGGTGCACGGCTGAGCTTGGGGTTTTCAGGGTGTGAGCGTGTGTGCACAGATTTGTGTGCAGGTGTGCATCCAGCTGTTTCAGGGTCTCTCAGTCTGCGGTTGAGGAAGCAAGGGGTCTCCCTAGGTCCCTGTCTGAGGGTCTGTGGCCATTGCTGTTCTCAGTAGTGGAGCATGGATGTCTAAAGCCCCGCCTCTGAGCCTTCCATTTGCCTCCAGACCATGACCACCTGTCCCTGCTGGACCTGCAGAGATGGGAAGGCCTGGTTCCTGTGGCAAGGCACCCGCTGGGACACCCACACACAACCTGGGAAGCAGGGTTCAGACCGGGCACGCAGAGGCCACCTGTGGGACCAAGTGCGACATGAGGGCCACGTGTGTCTTTGCAAGTGTCTGTGAAGTGTCTAGAGCGTGTGGGGGACCGTGGAGCGTGCATGTCAGTGTGTGTCCTGCAGGGAGAAGGAGCAGTCGGTGCCCCCTGGGCATTGGGGAAGGAAGGACAAGACTCCCATCCCAAGTCTTGGGGGAGGGCAGAGAGGGCCCCCAACAGCTGCTCGGCAGAAGCTGTCAATGGACAGGAGGGTGTGAACCAGGCCCATCTTCCCCCAGGCCCTCCTCTGCCCTCTCCTCTCTCTTGGTGAGAGCCACAGGGGGACCCCAGCACCCTGCCACTTCCTGACTGTGGGACCCAGACTAGACGCCCAATATCCTCAAGCATCGGTTTCCTCATGTGTCAAACAAGGAGCTGGAAGAGCACCTCCTCCCTCCTGGTCCAGCATGGTCCCATGTGTAAACTTCGAGACCAGCATGCGGGGCCCTGGGAGAAGCAGGTGCTCTTGGGGCGAGGGTGGCAGTGACCGCTAAACCAAAGCCAGCTGGCACTCTGGTACCCCTCCCTGTGGTCTGTCAAGCCCAGACCTCTGGCCTGCACCCCACCCTCCTTCAGCAAACAGCTTTGTCCAGGGACACGCTGGGTGGAACACAGAATGTAGGCAGACAGACGGATAGACAGGGGGCTCAGGGGTAGAAGCTGGAGTTCAGCTGCTGGCCCAGCCGGGAACCAATATACTAATCTCTAGGCCCCAGGGCTGGTCATGAAGACAGGTCACAGACTCACGGGTGATGGGGAGGACACAGAGAAGCCTGAGCAGAAGGGGTGGAGGGAGGCTGGACTCTGGCCAGCTGAGTCCCTAGCCAGTAGGAGATAGAGAGTCCCCAGGGAGCAGAACCTGCCGAGAACAGACCCTGCCCTGCTTCTGGCCCTCATGTCCAGCGGCAGGGGGCAGGGGGCTGCAGCAGCGGCCCCTGCAGGGCCAGGCAGCCTCCAAGGAGAGGCATATGCTGCCACCAGCAGCGACTCTGAGGGACCCAGACACCATCAGCCAAGACACACGTTAGTACATTGACCTGCCAACACACACAGACGACTACACGTAGCAAGGCAGGCCGACCCACAGGCCTGGACGCACACACCTAGAGGTGCAGACCTGTATATTCACACGCACAGGGCAGCACGTGCACATGCACACACACAGACACAGGCACATACAGGTGTGCCCTCACTGGGACACCCCTCAGGTACCCCCAGGACCGATGTGGGCACAGGGGCGTGACCCCCAGAGGGACGTGTGCACACATACCCAGCTGTGTACACAAGCACGTGTTTACACTCATAGACAAGCACTCCGGGCCCGCAAAGCATGGAGACCCCCCAAGGTGACTGACGCCTGCCTCCTTACACACTGAGGCCCGAACAGGACTAAAGTGCTGGGGCCGAGGGCGAGGAGCCGCAGTGCGGGCCCCTCCCTGCCAGGATGCCCCCTCCGCGGTGCAGGCGCCAGCTTCCTGAGGGGGGAGAAGCGAGGAAGGAGGCCGGCGGCCGCTGCCTCCGTGGCCACGTCCACCACCTCGTAGCGGGAGCTCACGCAGGCCTTCGTGAGACCCCCTCCGGCCCCCGGGGCCGGGCGCCGAGGCCTGGGCGCACGCAGCGCCCGGAGCGGCGGTCGTTGGCGCCCCCCGCGAGCGCGGGGTTAGGGCCGCGCTCCCCGGGGAGGGGGCCCAGCGGGGCGGCGGGCGTGACGCGGGCACCCACCTGGTGGTGTGTCTCGCCCTCCACGTTGACGCCGTTGACCTCGACCAGCCGGTCCCCGGCGCGCAGCGCGGCCGCCTCGGCGGGGGAGCCGGGCTCCACGCGCCGGATGAACTGCCCGCGGCGGCCCTTCTCGCCGTGCAGGTGGAAGCCGTAGCCCTGCTCGCCGCGCACCAGGCGGCACAGGCGGGGCCGCAGCGGCTCCGGGGCGGCCATGGCGGCGGCTGCCCACCGGACGGCCACTGGCCGGCCACGGCGCTCACGCCTGCAGCGGGCAGGCAGGGGCGCGGGGGGCGGCGCGCAGGCGGCAGCGGCGGCGCTGGGGACCTGGCGGCGCCCTCGGCTGCTCCCGCTCGGCTCCCGTCGCCTCGGGCTCGGGCTCAGGCTCGGGCTCCGGCTCTGGCACCGCCCCCGCGCCCGCCCCTTCCCCGCCTCCTCCATGGGGCCGCCCCCGCCCCGAGTCCTGGCTGGTCCTGGCTGTGGCCCGGCCTCGGCACCCCGCCAATTCCGGGGGGTGGGGGGAGGCCTTAGGGCCTAGGGACCACCTCTGTCTCGCCCCGACTCTGGGCAGCCTCCCTGGCGCAAGAGTCTTTGCTTCCTAGCCCAGGAACATTTAGTGAGCACCTACTGTATGCGTGACACCGAGGCGGTGTCCTCGGAGAAAGGGTCCTCAGGCGGAGGAACCCCACACCGGGGCAGAGAGTAAGAACAAGGGACACAGCTCTGGCCACCATCCTCGAGAACACACCCTCCACCCCCCCCCCCCCCCCCCCCCACTCCCCACCTCCCTGCTGTCCCGGTATCTGGATCTCTCCTGCACCCGGAGCTGCCCTGGCCCAACAGAATCCCAGGACGGGCCAGGAGGCAAAAAGAGGAGTTTGGAAGTAACAAGGCAGCAGCCCTCCCCTATATTCTTGAGGGCAGTGACAGGGGCTCCCTGGGCCTCCCCAGGAGATGGTTTGTGCCTACCTGTGCTGGGGATGTCTATTAAACATTACAACCCCCCCCACACACATACCTCTCTCTTTGCCAGGGCCCCTCACTTGTGCCCCTGCTCATCCCAGGCAGAAATGAAATGTATCCAGGACTTTGGCCTCTGACCTCTGGCTTGGGATCAGTGCTCACAGAAGCTGTTCCCATGAGCTGACCCCTGTGATGCCCCTCTGCCCCAGCCCACCCTTCCCTCCATCCTTCTCCCCTAGCATCTGGCCATCCCCAGCATGAGTGCCCCTTCCCCCAACAAGACAAGAATGACAAGAGAAAATCGGTTATGCTCTGTTGTGCCTCTGAGTACGCTTTATCTGGAAAAACCCAAGGGTGCTCAGGCCATTTTGCAGATCAAGAAACTGAGTTCTAGAGAGGAACGAGACCCAGGCAAGGTTCCCCAGGTCCTCTTAGGCACTGCTGTGAGATTCCAAGTCCACATTTTATCATGGAACTCTTTCTCAGCCTTGGATACAGGAAGACAGCTGAGCTCCCTCTCAGCCTGCCCCTCCCCAGCCTGCCCAGCCCCCTGCACATACCTGGTCCCTGGGGGTCAGGCATAGCCAGCCCAGACAGTTCCCCATGTGGGCAGAAGCAGGCTCGGCTCAGGTCCCGTCCTTGCTGCTCCTTCTCCCCTCTCCAGTGCCCTTAGCCTGGGCGCCCAGCCCCCACCCAAGCACAGGGCTCTCCTCTGGGCAGCCTCCTGGGCTGCAGCCCCTTGGGTGTCCACACCCAGCTGCTGCCCCTAAAAGCCACTTAGGCCAAAACTGCAGGGCTGCTTCCCTACCCCCACCTCTAAGTTCCTGGCTGATGCTGCCATAGGTTCCTGCCTAGCTGGCCACCTCGATCTGTCTGTTTGCCTGTCCAGAGGCTGCCTGTCTGGCCTGTGACGGCCTCTCTGAACCCAGCCTGGTGCTGCTGCTCCTGGAGGCTGTGAGGATGGGTGCGGTCCATCATATACCACCCCAGGTGGGATTTAGGGGTCACCCCATAGCAACCAGGACCAGCCAGGACCTGCCAGGCTGTGGCATGGGGCCATACCAGAGTCTAGGGAGGTAGCTGGATGGGAGACCCCCAGGCTGGGGGTAGAGAAGGTAGGAGCCCCTGGTCCTCTGGGTGTGGGTCGGGAGGCCTGGAGATCTCCTCCCCCCTCCATAGGACAGACACTCGCAGGATCAGCCTCAACCAGTCAGTAAAGACAGGGGAGAACAGAACACCACTGGAGGGAGGGGTAACCATGGGCATGTGGTCACAGCCAGGGGCCAGAACACTGCATGACAGCCTAACAAAGGAGGCTCCAAAGCAAAAAAAGGAGCTGAAATACCAGGAAAGTAACAGAGTAACAAAGGCAACATCAGAGAGTAATAAAGGGGGTGGGTAACAGCCACAGAATAAAGGCAGCTCGGAAGAAGTGCAGGTAAATTCCAAAGGGGGAGCAGGAATGAGTGAGAGGGAACAGGGTAAGTATGGGGCCCCGACGAACAAAGAGGCAGGGAAAGCTAACCCAGCTGCTCTCCTGGGCAGACTCGCCGGCGCCCTTCCTTCAGCCTCGGGCCTCGGGCTGAGACAGAAGTGGGAGGCAGAGAAACAGGCCAAGAGAACAGCATGAACAACGACCCAGAAGAGCGGACCGAAAGGTGCTCAGGGGCTGTAAGCTGTTTGGGGTCGCCGGGGAGTGGGCCAGAAGAGGTGATCAGCGAGGCCAGCTGCAGGCGGGGAGGCCAGGTGGGAGGTGATCCCCACCCCCACCCCCGACGCCCTCGCTGCCACCTTGCTACACAGGCTTTGAGACAGATGGGAAGTAGACCTTTCGGGGCTTCCCTCTCCTGGGCTATCTGAGGGTCCACCTAGGGTGGGGGTTGGCCCGGGGCTCCAGTGGTGGGGAGGGGGCTGTCCTCTGAGCTTTGAACCTACCCTCCCAGCTACAACTTCCCCAGCGATGGGCGGGGCCTGGGCCTGGGCGGGGACTCTGGGGCGTGGCAGTGGATAGAGGCCTGGTCACCCTCCAGGGGAAGGTTTGGGGGCCCGTCTGTGGGGTGGAGCCATTAGTCGGACGCCCGGGTAATGGCCCGGAGCTTCCCGGACCGGCGCCGCCTCCCTAATGGGCATTAATGGCCCCACGGGATGATCGGGCCTCGCTTACGGCTTCCTCCCTCAGACTACCCCAGGCCTCTCTTCAGAGCCCGAAACTGGAGCAGGCGGGACCAGCGCGACGTAAAGAGAGATGAGAACACGACACCCGGAGCCGAGAGGGAGACAAGGGGAGAAGGGCGCGGACCACCGGAGGGAGATGGCGCAGGAACCCGCCCACCAGCTCTGGGCCCGCCCGCGCCCCGCGCCTGGCCCCTCCCACCGCCGCAGGCGCCGGCTGGGGCTGCAGCCCTGAAGAGCAGCCGCGCAGCGCCGCCTGCCGGCTCGCGGTGGGATTGCTTCGTCCGAGGGGCTGGCCCAGGCCCCGCCCCTCTGGCCCCGACGCGGTACAGCCTTGCCCTGCTGGGTGGGGGTGGCGGCTGAGGCCGGCGCCTTGGGGCTGCTTGCACTGCAGGGGCACAGGGGTGCCATGAAGGTGGTAGGCAGAGAAGCCGGGCCTCTGCCAAGTCCCTAATCAGCACTGCTCTTTCGCCTTGGACCTGGCACCAATCTCCCTGGACTGGGGTACCTCCAGGCAACGTGAAATCCAGCGCCCCGCCAAGTGTCCAGCACTTGTGACCAAACATATGCAGACCACTTGGCACCCGGCTCTGGTGAGCACTGGAGGAACATTAGACCCCTGGAAACAGATTTATATGCCTGGGTAAGGGCGGGTCTAGGGCTGGTGCAGCCCTGAGGAGGGCATTTAACATGGCCTGAGGCCCTGGAGTCCTTTTTCTGGGTGGACCATGGGGCCGTTCTGGAATCTGCCCACAGGTCCTGCAGTCTGTGTGGGGGAGGGGAAGGAGCAATGAGACTGGGGGACAGAGCAGCCCTGGGGCCCAACCCCGGAACGTGGATTTTTGTGCCATCGGTGGTGGAGAGTGAGGTGTTGTGCTCTGGAAGTTAGGTCATCAGGACGCCCATGCTTTGAAAGGCCGAGTTTGGCAAGAAGCAGGAGGAGGAATGGACTTGGAGTGCAGCGAATGGGCTGACCTGAGGAGTCTGTGGCCACCCCTTCCCTCAGTGCAGATTTGGAAACAGAGTCAATATAGTCAGGGGTCAGTAAGAATTGGGAGGGTGGAGAAAAAAGAGCACCCACATTAGGTGACAACATGGGGAGAAGGGTGCACCCAGGAGATGGGCAGGAATTGCCAGTAAGGAGAGATGGGGGCTTCCAGAGGCCAAGGAGAATGTGGGGGCTGGTTCCAAGTGAGTATCTCAAAGCTAGCCAGCTCGACGGGCATGGGACCACCCCTCCTCTGGTCATGGCTGGGTGCCGTAATGGAAGGCCTTGCCACATGGCCAAGGGAGGGCTCCAAGGGCAGACAGCATCAGGGCACAGTGACTAGTCGCATCGAGGCCCAGGACAGTTGTGGGAGTCAGAGCCCACACCGAAGAGGGTTGACGAGGAGGCAGAAGGGTGGAGGGGCCCACACAATTGTGAGCAGGAGCTATGAGGGGGCCCAGGGGTCCTTATTCATGACAGCAGAGCATATTTACGTGGGGGTTGGAGCCAATAACTGAAGATGCAGAGGGGATTAGAGGTGGAAGGGTCTCTGAGGAGGCAAGGGGCCCTTCCTCCCTAGAAGAGGAGCAGGACCTTGAAGTAGGGGGCCAGGGGTTCTCACTTCCTCTCCAGAAGCCATTGGCTGAGGGAAGGAGGGGGGTGAAAGAGATCAGGTTTGAAATGAATCCTGGGAGACGTGGGAAAGGCTGGGTAGGCTGCTGGTCTTAAGGTCCCTTAAGGAAGACATTCTCCCCAGCCTGGTCAGGAAGCATAGTGAGGGGGCACTCTGGGGCTCCCGGGAGGCTGGGGTGGGAGCTCTGGCTCAGCTAGTAGGGTATGAGTTGTTTTCCTCTCTCTGGTGGATGGCAGTGGGACCCAAGGTCTGACTTGTGCCTACCTCCCATGAGACCTCTCCTCTCCTGTGGGACCCTGGGACCTGGTCTGATGACCCCACCCCAGAACAGGAGGGGCAGTACTGGCAGAGAAGGAAGGGGACCTAGTCCCCGGCAGTGTCTCTGCCTCTGTCCCCTCTCCCCCTCCACAAGGACTTACAGATCGAGATGGTTAGGAGGGGGCATCCCCTGGCCAGGGAGAGGGCTCCTGTAACTGGCAGGGTGTGAATGCAGCTGTTTACACCCCAAAGCTAGATGCCAAGTATACAGCGTGGAGGAAAAGGGTCACACACGGGAACGCATGAACCAGGCAGCTTTTATTGACCAGACCACCTGGCCTGGCCAGAGCTGTTCGCCCAGCAGGAGGAGTAGACTCCTGGGTCAGATGAGGGGGCGTCACCAGCAAGGGCTGCGTTCAGGATGGCCCTGGGGAGAGGTGGGGGCCGGCGAAGGTGGTTCACTGCGCAGACCATGGCTGAACAGGATACACTCTGAAGGCTCTAGAAAGAACAGAGCAGGACCTTGGGGAGAAGTCTGTGAGCCCTCCACTAACCCTTACCTCCCCCCCCACCCCCCCACCCCCCCCACCCCCGCCAAGCCTGGAAGGGTAGGAAGCTCCTGGAAAGCCTTTCTGGGCAAGAAGTGAGAAATAGGATGGTCCTAGGGTGTCTCGTGGGCACGCGGGCGTGGGCTCCGGGCCCAGATCTCTCCAGACATCCTCCACCCGCTGCTGTCCCGGCTCCCTTTTTCTCCCCACGTACCTGTCCCGCTTCACGGAGGTCCAGGAATGGGCGCCCAGCCGCGGCTCCAGTTCGGGCTCGGGCGGCGCAGTTTGCGCCCGCAGTTCGAGCCCTGCGCGAGAGTACCTGCGTCCCATCTCCAACAGTTCCCGAACCCCCGAGGACAGCAGGAGAGCACCGCGGGGGACGGGCGCCGGAGAGAGGGTGTCTTTGGCAGATAGCCCCTGGGGGGACGCGCCCAGGCCCTGGGTGTCCCAGGCGAGGGACCCAGCAGCGGGGCGCAGCGCTCGGCGCCACTTGTAGGGCGAGCTGCGCAGCCCCATGAGCAAGCCCGCGGCGCGGCCCACTGTGTGGTAGCGGGGACTCGCCACGTGCTTGTACCAGGCGCCAGCGGGCAGCGCCAGGAGCAGCAACAATGCGAGCACCGGCCGGCCCGCAGGGCCCCGAACGCCCGTACCCCGCGCCAGGGTGCTCAGGTTGACGGCCGCCCGGCGGGGCAGGCCAGGAGCTAACTCAGCTGGGGCTGGGCGCGCTGCGGGACTGCGGCGTCGGGGAGCCGGAGCGTCGGGGGCGCAGCGCCGCGGGGCCAGCTTATAACTGCTCGCTAGCCCCGCCCCGCTCGCCCCCGCGGTACTCGCTCGGCTCCCAAAAGGTAGGGGGAGGGATGAAGAGGGAAGAGGGGCCCAGGCTGCTGCGACAGGGGCGTGGGTTATTGGAGTATCTTCTCTGAGTGGGCGGGCCTTCACCTAGAGCTCATCTTGACGCTCCGCTGGGAGCGCCCCTGCTCCCCCTCAAAGAAGAACTGAGGAGATGGGCGGACATGGGCAAAGGGAGCTCTTGCAGGCTGGGCACCAGCAAAGTTGACTGGGGGGGCTATAAGAACCCTAGTGGGGTCAGAAGCGCTAACTGGTGGGGGTCCTCTGTATCATTCAAGAACCCTCTGTGTATCTCCTCTCCTGAGGGCTGTCTCTTGTCCCCCCACCCCTCCCACCCTCTCCCACACTAGCAGGTGGGAGCCCTCCAACCCACTTCCCCACTGTGGCTGGATGGTTGCAACCACAAACTTGGTCACATGGAGCCCTCCCTGAGATGCTTAGTGGTTTCCCATGGCTTCCAGAATAAAAAGTAAACCCCTCCTCTTACCCCAGCCCTGGCCTGGGCAGGAGAAGGCCCTGTGGACCTCCAGGCTACTCTCTGGTTGTGATCCCCCCCAAGACCACTGTCTCTGGCCAGTTTTCATCTTTCTGCCTTACCCAACAAACTGTGATTCTGCCCGCCTCTGTTTCTGTCCTCAGAACATCCTTCCCTTCCTTCCCAACCCAGCAGACTTGCACTCATCACTCCGGATCCTGCCTACATGGCCCTCATCTGAATAGTCTCCTGGAATATTTGTCTGTGGCTGTATGTGTTTAACAACCCCTTCCAGAGGGCAGAGCCTGACCCATTCTTGCCTGAGCCCCAACCCAGGAAGGATGTAAACCCCCAAATAATCAGGCCTCATCCCACCCCCAGCAACCACACCACTCATGGAACATTTTCTTGATCCCAGACACCAGGGATCCTGAAATGTCTTCTTCCTTTTTTAAAAAGATTTTATTTCTCAGAGAGAGAAAGAAGCCAGGGCGGCGGGGCAGGGGGGAGCACACAAGCAGGGGTAGCAGCAGACAGAGCAGGCAGAGGGAGAAGCAGGCACCCTGCTGAGCAAGGAGCCCGACACGGGACTCGACCCCAGGACCCTGGGATCATGACCTGAGCCAAAGGCGGACGTTTCACCTACTGAGCCACCCAGGCATCCCTGAAATGTCTTATTTTGATCTCCAAACAATGCCACGAAGTGGGATAATTTAAAAAAAAAAAAAAGATTTTGGAGGGGCGCCTGGGTGGCTCAGTCATTCAGCGTCTGCCTTTGGCTCAGGTCATGATCTCAGGGTCTTGGGATTTAGCTCCGGCATCGGGCTCCCTGCTCAGCAGGACGTCTGCTTCTCCCTCCCTCTGCCTCTTCCCCGGCTTGTGTGTGCACTCTCTCTCTCTCTCTCTCTCTCTCGCTCACTCTCTCAAATAAAAATCTTTTGAAAAAATTTTAGGGGCACCTGGGTGGCTCAGTCATTAAGCGTCAGTTTTTGAAACTATTTAAAAAAATTTTTTTTAAAGGGGGCGCCAGGGTGTCTGTCTTTAGGCGTCTGCCTTTGACTCAGGTCATGATCCCAGGGTCCTGCGATTGAGCCCAACGTTGGGCTCCCTGCTCAGCGGGAAGCCTGCTTCTCCCTCTCCCACTCCCCCTGCTTATGTTCCCTCTCTTGCTGTATCTCTCTGTCAAATAAATAAATAAAATATTAAAAAAAAAAATAAAGTGTGCCTGGGTGGCTCAGTCGTTGAGTGTCTGCCTTCGGCTCTGTTCATGATCCCAGGGTCCTGGGATCGAGCCCCACATTGGGCTCCCTGCTCAGCGGGAAGCTGGCTTCTCCCTCTCCCACTGCCCCTGCTTGTGTTCCCTCTTGCTATGTCTCTCTCTGTCAAATAAATAAATACTTTTTATTTTTTATTTTAAGATTTTATTTATTTATTTGAGAGAATGAGAGATACAGAGCACGAGAGGGAAGAGGGTCAAAGGGAGAAGCAGACTCCCTGCCGAGCAGGGAGCCTGATGTGGGACTCGATCCCGAGACTCCAGGATCATGACCTGAGCCGAAGACAGTCACTTAACCAACTGAGCCACCTAGGTGCCCCTAAATAAATACTTTTAAAAAATTAAAAAATAAAATAAAAAATTTATTTTAATGAAAGCCCTTTCTAGGACTTTTGATCTTTTTATTTTTTTATAAGATTTTATTTATTCATTTGAAAGACAGAGAAACAGCACAAGCAGGGGAGAGGCAGAGGGAGAAGCCGACTCAGATCATGATCTGAGCCAAAGGCAGACGCCTCACTATCTGAGCCACCCAGGCACCCCGATAAAAAATTTTTTAAATTTAAAGTAATCTCTATACCCAACATGGGGCTTGAACTCAGAAGTCCAAGATTGAGAGTCGCATGCCCGCCAGGTGCCCTAAAGTGGACGATTATTGACCTCCTTTATCAATGAAGTAAGGCACAAGGAAAATGGATTTGTTCAGATCACCTGTTGGGTAAGCAGTGGTGCAAGTGGGGTCCGACCTAGACCCCCCAGCCTGATAGCACCAGTTTGGGGACCTGAACTGCAGTTCTCCATGGAAACTGCCCCTCACCCTCTGCCTGTCTCTGCAGCAAAAGGGAAGGCGTGATTCTGGGAGTGAAGGGAACAAAGTCCTTCCTCCCGAGTCTCCCTATCGAGGGGCCACAGAGGGGCTGGGAGTACAGAGGATGCACCTCTAAGGCAGGAGGGGCCCAACTTGGTTGCAGGGAGCACTGGGGGGGGACAGTTAGAAGCAATGGCAGCCCTCCCTTCAAAGGCCCTGTGGAACGGGGAGAAGTGAGCCGAGCGCAGCGCCCTGTGCTTGGTGGTGGGAATGCGGGGGGTGTGCACCTCAACCTCTCCTGTCTCAGTTTCTTCACTTGCAAACTGGGATGATAAGAGCCCCTCCTCAGCTTAATGTGAGCATTAATCCAGGCACGGGTCTTGGCATTATGCCTGGCACATGGTAGCTGCTCAAAACATGGTCAGGCTACCATCCCCTGCTGCTACTGTACCCAGCCTCCTAAGCTGTCAGTAAAAACACTTTGATGGAGGGGTGACTGGCGCAGGGACTGGTGAGGTAGGGGATGGAGAGGGAGTTTTGGGTGCACCTGGAGGGGCCTGGAGGACCACAGGGACCCCGGAGCCGTGTGGAAAGCAGCCACCCCAGGGGGGCCCTTGGCCTGGAGAGCCGCCTGGAGTGTGCAGTGGGTGGGCAGCGCAGCACGATGTGGGCCACCAGGTCCCCTGACGCTGCACATCCTCTGGGCTAAGAGTACTTGGTGGGGGCGGGGGGGAGAAACCTACCTGGAGCCCCCCACCCCACCCAGTTCAGCGAGGGAGAGTCCGACACCCCCTGGAGATGGCCCAGTAGGATCACTTGCGGCTAGGTGGTAACGGGGTCTGGAGCCGTTAGAACACTGAAATAGAGCTACAGATACCAGCACGGATGAGTCTCCAAAACAGTGTTAAAGAAAATACCCTGCATGATACCCGTCTTGCTTGTTTATGGCTGTGAAGTGCAGGGGATGATGAAGGCCCCAGTGAGATGGAGCGGGACTCCTGCTGGATGACTGTGCAGAAGGCACGTGGGGAGGGAGCCCAGGGCCGGGTTGGGGGAGCAAAGCACACCACAGTCCTGGGAACTCCCAATGTGGGGTACAGAGGAGGGGCTCTGAGCCCCGCCCAGCCCGGAGCCCAGGGGTCCAGTGACAAGGGCCTCCCCCCTCCCCCCACTGCAGGGGTCTGGAGCCAAAGCTCCACTCTGGGAGGAGGGGAGGAGGGGAGGAGGTGACGGGCCCATGAGCGCTGACTCTCCTTTCTGTGACTCACCTCTCCCTTCATCCACCCAACATCCTCCTAGAAACCAGGGGAGCATGGCTTTGGGCTGCCTGCACACCACCTTTCTCCAACGGCACCAGGCTGCCTGTGGGCCAGGACCACTCAGAGCCTGGCCCCAACAAGGACTCCATCTAAGGACGCAGTGACTGAGCAAATCTGTTTTGTCTTTTTTTTTTTTTTTTAAAGATTTATTTATTTGAGAGAGCAAGAATGAGAGAGAGAGAGTACATGAGAGGGGGGAGGGTCAGAGGGAGAAGCAGGCTCCTTGCTGAGCAGGGAGCCTGATGTGGGACTCGATCCCGGGACTCTGGGATCATGACCTGAGCTGAAGGCAGTCGCTTAACCAACTGAGCCACCCAGGCACCCTGTTTTGTCTTCTTTTTTAAAAACTGTTTCTATTGAGGTAATTTACATGATTAATATAATGCTAGCATAAGGAAGAACTTCAAACTCCCTGACCCACCCTTTCGCATCCCAGTCATGCTCTCCAGAGGCAACAGCTTCCAGGTCCTTCAGCTATTTCTTCTGGTATTTACCCCCTACTTAAAAACCATAAACTTAACTATTCCAAAAATCTGTGGTCTTTTTAAGAAGCCGTAACTAATGCACCCTGAGTAGCGTGCACATCTCGTCTTCACAAGTGCATTTGTTTTTACGTATGCATACATCTGCATGCCCACGGCCCAGAACAAGAGAGCAGAGTTCAGCTCCCGGGGAGCTCCCTTTAAAGCTCCCTTTGAACCCACCCCCGCCCGCGCCCCAGCCAGAAGCCCCCAGCATAACTTATGACCTCGTCAGGGTGCCTACCCTCAGCCGCACCGACATGTGGGGGCGTCCTGTGCTGCGGTGGACGGTCAGCAGCATCCCTGGCCGTCACTCACCTGTACAGGCAGAGTTAACAGCCCCTGCCCAAGATGTGCCCCAGATATCCTGGAACCTGTGCACACCTACTTGACGCGGTAAGCCGGCGGGGGGGGGGGGGGGCGGCGATCGAAGTTGCAGATGAAATTAGGGATTCTCATCAGCGGACCTTAATGGAAGCAGATGGTCCTGAATTATGCAGGTGGGCCCAGCGCCACCACGTGGGGTAAGTGTGGAAGGAGGCGGCTTTGGAGGAGGAGAGGTGACAAGGATGAGCCTGGCAGGGTGCACCGTGCAGATGAAAGAGGGGGCCTCTACAGCTGGAGAGGAGATGGATTCTCACCCGAAGGCGTGCACCCCACCTGCACCTTAGTTTTATCCCAGGGAGACCTGTTTCAAACTTCCAAATTTCCTAACTGTAAGATAATACATCTGTGTTGTTTGAAGCCGCAAAGTTTGTGGTCATTTTTTAACAGTGGCCACGGGAAACTAATGACCTGCTAGGTGTCAGTAATGCTCCCACTCTGCTGTGACCACCACAAATGTCTCTGGGGGTAAAACCACCCCCAATTGAGAACCACAGACCCTGAGATTATAAACAGACAATTTGTGATTTATGTTTTAGGCAGCACCAGAAGGCTTCCTACAAATTTAGATGAAGCTTTGGCCCTCTCACACCCTCTCCATCCTAGAATTGTCACAAATTTTGGTTAACTCACTAGCCAGCGTTTATGTTGTTACGGCTGCGTAAATATTGTTCTCTGCTAAATGTACTACGATTACATTTCCTATCTCTCTGATTGCTTTTTTTACATACTTATTGTGCTATTTTCCCCCCAAAGGTTCTGAGAGATAGGTCGAGTTCCTCGCAGTACCTTTTCCAGATTCTCAAGCACGCGAGGGCACCCTGATCAGTTCCATGTCTGCTCTGGAGCCTCCCTGTGGGAGATGGTGGCCTCCTACTCCCCTGCACACCCCCTTTTCCCACACATCCACGTTGGCGCCTCCACATGGGCATCATCCCACGCTCTGCTTTGGCTCTTGTCTGGATTGGAACTCATTTTCTGGATGCCAGGCCATCTTCCAACTGGTACTCCCTAACATTTTGGAGACACGAACGATCTGGTAGTTTCATGTGAATGGGGACATGGGACCTAAATAATTTGTCCCTTTTATGACAGTGTCTTTATGCCTAATGGAAAGATTTTCTGGTTGTAGAGTTTGTGGATGGATATCCCACTCCTTCAGAAATTTGAGGGAATCTCTGGCTTCCAGTGTTCCCGGAGTAAAGTCCTATTCTCATCCCTCTTCTAGGATCTTCTCCCTCCTCACCCCCTCCTCCCTAAACCTGTCCGCCGTACGCCAGGATGATGTCACTTGCTGAGGGCCTTTCTTCCATGGCTGGGCCCTTCCTTTCAGTGTGAAGACTCAGGTCCTTCAGTGATAGCCCGTACTGTCTTATTAGTTCTTGGATAATTTGCACCTCTCCACTTTCTCTGTTCTCTCTGACATTCCTATTAATTAGGTACTGCACCTTCTAGATTCAGAGTTCCAGCTTCTTTATTTTCTGTCTGTGTCTGCCTGCTGGGAGATTTCAACTGTATCTTCCCAATTTGCTCTTGAATTTTTACTTATGTTTTTGATTTCTAAGAGCCCTTTCTTGTTCTGATTATTTTGTGCTTGTTATTATTCAAGGCATCCTATTCTCATTTCACGGAAGCAGCATCTTTTCTGGGAATATCAAATACAGCTCTTTTTTCCTTTTCCTAAGGTAGGCTCCCCACCCAACACGGGGCTGGAATTCACCACCCCAAGATCAAGAGTCATGTGCTCCACCGACTGAGCCAGCCAGGCACCCCAAATACAGTTCTTTCTAAAGCTTCCTTTTGCTCCCTGGGTCTGCTTAGTTTGGTCCATCTTTCACACTGCAGGCTTTCCTCCTGAGTCTGGAGATCCTTGGCTGACCATCTGTCCCCATGTATGAGACCTGATGCTCTTTCTGTGGGGACATGACTCTGCCAGGCAGTGGGCTTCACTGCAGGAATGGCTTTTCATTCTGTAATGGGGCAGGCAGTGAAGCTTTGCTCTGGAGCTGGTCAGTTTCTGGAACGGAAGCAAGGGAGAGGGGCGTGGACTGGATACAAAAGTCAGGGCAGGGGAGGAGGGCCCAGGTCGCCGGGTTCCATGCACTGACTTGCAGGCACTCGTTTTCAGTCCCCTGCCTCACTTCACCCTCAGTGAAACTTCTTATCAGGGTTCCCCCCAAAGGTCCTTTTTTTTTTCTTAAGATTTTATTTATTTGACAGAGACACAGCAAGAGGGAACACAAGCAGGGGGAGTGGAAGAGGGAGAAGCAGGCCTCCCGCGGAGCAGGGAGCCCGATGCGGGGCTCGATCCCTGGACTCCGGGATCATGACCTGAGCTGAATGCAGACGCTTAACGACTGAGCCACCCAGGTGCCCCCCCAAAGGTCTTAAGGATGCTTTATAAAGTGAGTCACTCTTCCTGTCCTTCCAGTTTGTTGACACCTTTCACTAGCTGCCTCCTCCCTTCTTCTTCTCTTGGCACTTGTGGATTGGCAGTCTTTTACTCCTTTGCTGTCATTTAGTGGGGTTGTGTGACAGTGAGAAGGCATGTGCATTGGCCCGTCCACCAGATTCACTTGGTGTGATGATGCCCACTTTCCAATTGAGGAAGTCAAGGGTTCAGTGAGCTAACCAAGTTCACCAGCAAATAAGTGGCTGAACTGGGGTTTCAAGCCCATTTCTGTCTGATTCTAAAGTCCAGGCTCGCTCCCCAACAACACACTGCCTTTTTCTAGAAGGCTTCAGATTTGACTTGCCTCCTTTAATGGCAGAAGGGAGGTCTGGAGTGTGCCTGTCCCCCAAGGATAGGGAGGAAGCCTACCTGCAGGGACCTGAGGCCCAGTATTCACCACCGTCCATTCAGCAAACCTGCCCTGAGGCTTTTCTGCGCCAAGCCCCCGAGCTCAGCTGGGTGTGCCCAGTGAAGAACGCAAGTTCCCTGCCTGATTTTCCCATCAGGATCGGGAGAGATAGCCCCCGGCTTGGAAAAGGATGTCACCAAAAAAGTCTTTTCTGATAAAGATTTGCAGGAAGGTCTAATTTGGGGAGGCCGGGGCGGGCGGGGGGGTAGGGGTGCGCCTGGTGACCAGGCCCGTGTACGCTGCAAATACAAGCGGTCTGGCTGGTCAGAAACGGTGGGCTCCCGATACGGCGGCTATATTTAGCACATAAACTGCAAGACATGCGGTTAAATCTGCATTTCAGATCAACGCGGGGTAGCATGTCAACACAAAGACGGCCTACCCACAACAGGGGCGTACTCACCGGAACCACAATGAGCGCGGTGCGTGGTTGCTCTGAAATTCCAAGCTACCTGGCGGCGCGGCGTCTCACCGGGCGGGCAGCCCGGCAGAGGCAGCGGAGGGGGGCCGCGCTGCGGACCGCGCCCCCCGCCCCCAGCCCGCGGTCCTGCCCGGGCCCCCAGTTTCCAGCCCGGGCTCCGAGCCCCCTCTCGCGGTCCCGCCCGGGCCCCAAGGCCGCCCCCCACCCAGCGCCATCCCGCAGTCCTGCTCGCACCCCCGGCCTCCCGCGCCCTGCTAGGGCGGAAGTGGCGGCTCGCGCTTCCGCCTGGCGGGGCCGTTACTGGGCGGGGCGCTGACGTCGCCCGGAAGGGGCGGGCCCGCCGGGAGCCAGGCCGCGCCGCGCCGCGCCGGCCGGAGGGGGCCGCAGCACGGACCATGGCGGCGGCGGCGGCGGCAGTGACGGTGGCGGCGGGCGCCGAGGGGCGGCGCGCGGCCCTGGAGGCGGCGGCGGTGCCCGAGCGGGGCGGCGGGAGCTGCGTGCTGTGCTGCGGGGACCTGGAGGCTACGGCGCTGGGCCGCTGCGACCACCCGGTGTGCTACCGCTGTTCCACCAAGATGCGGGTGCTGTGCGAGCAGCGTTACTGCGCCGTGTGCCGCGAGGAGCTGCGCCAGGTGCGCCGCGCCGGCCGGGCCGCGCGTTCGGGGCGCCGGGCGGGCGCGGGGCGCGGCCGGAAGGGGACTTTGCCTTCCTGATGTCCGGCCGCGGGCCTGGCGGGGCCCCCCGGGGCGGGCTCCCGACCGTGGGGCCGACTGTGGGGCTTCTGGGGCCGGCAGGCAGGAGCTGGCCCCGCCGGGTCGAAGAGGGAGCAGTCCCTATGGGGACGATTATGGCAGTCCGGGAAGCAGAGGGTCAAAGTGGGTATTTCCAGCCCAGCTATGTGTCTGGGCCCCTTGGGGTAACTCCGGCAAGGTCCTCCCGAGACTGGTGCTTTCATCTGTTGAGGGGCGGTGGCACTCACACCTGCCCACCAGAGGGGGGAGGCTGAACCACTGAGGTTTCCTTAGGATTGTAGGCGGATGGGGTTAAAAGTGTTATGAAGTTTTTCTCCTCCTTGCCAATTCTAACGGGGAGTGGTGGTGAGGGGGTCAGCTCCAGAGTGGAGGTGGGGATGTTTCTGACTCTGTCCAGATTTGGAAGCCCTGGAGGGGATCAGAGGGCACCGTGGAGATTTCCCCCATCGTCCCCCTAATGCCAGATGCTGGCTGGAAGCACCTAGTTGGAACTCTTGGTTTGCTTTGAGATATGTTTGCTTCCAGTGTTGTGAAATTCCTCTGGTTTGTTCATGGAAAGCTTGGGCTGGTGACATCTGCCAGGGAATCTGACTCTCTTCTTCCTAAAAGTGACGCAGAAACGGCATTGTTGAGGAGTGGGTTTCTTTAGTTGTGTTGTTTCCTTTTTTTTTTTTTTTCAGGTAGACATTTATGTTAGGGGAGCCAAGATGATGCTGTAATTCCGTGAGCTCTTCATGAGCACCTGTTCTGTGCTTTTTTCAAAAAAGACACTTGGAGACGCTATTAGTGTGTACTGGGGTGGACAGAGACAGGCCTGGGAGAGATCTGGGGTGTACAAATTGTCGGGAAATGCTTGGGCCTGTGGCTTAGTGAGCGCCTCCCA